AATAGTTTACTACTTGACTTTCTAATTCAAGTTTGATGCAGGCTACACATTGGTTCAAGCAAAACATACTGATGATAAGCCATTTCTATAAGAAGCATGAGTTTTCATCTGTCTTGTATGTGATCAACTTCCACTGACTCTATATTAATAAAGAGGATGCATGACATCTGCAGCTCCAGTGTACAATGACTGCTCTTTTGTTAAGATGTTAGACTAATAGTTGACTAGTTATTTCAAGCCACTACTTACTGCCAGAGGAACCTTTACTGATGGAGAACTCTGGGTTCCAAACCCATCTGATGTAGTGCTCCAGAAAGCAACAGAAATATGGCCAGACAATATTAGTGCCAATATGATTCTTGTTCTTGGAATACACAAGAAGAACTAACAATATGGCCTGCAAGAGAACTTCATTACACAGCTCTGGAGATTCTTCATGAGTTATCTAGATGGAGTCAAAGCTTCAAGAAAGACTGAGTCAAACATCTTTTAAGTCAACTTTTCTGTTCCTGAACTGTCTAGACTGGATGACTAGCATAGCTTATTCTTTCTTCACCACTCTGTTCATCTTCAGCCTTATTTCAAGCAAGAGCTTGTTGAGATAACAATTAAGTTACTGGCCTCTAGTCTCTTTTTTGTGCTTGATGTGCACTCACAGTTCAAGAAAGAACAGTATTGCTGCTATAGCTTCATCAGATGTCAAACAGACTATTGTGCATTTATCAAGACTCTTAGCAAGCTAAATCTCTTGAATATTGAGTTTGTTACAGCCTGTAAGATGTTGACTAAGTGTGGTTTGGACAGTGATATCTGCAAGACCTGCTATCATTATTATAAAAGCATTAGCTTTTGTGTTTGACATTCAAGTGAAACAATCAGCTTATCACTACAAATAGCCAAAAATACATACCATAATCTGAGTGGGTTTCCTCAGAACATGAAGTGGTTTGTCCAGTAACAAGATCTTGATACTCACTTTGATACTTACAGTGCTTCTAGTACTCTCAAGTGCAGTACATGTGACCAGTATCTCTATAAAATTTATCTCAAGCAGAAATCAAATAAGTTGCCAAAAACAATAAGAAAGCACATGTGAATTAGTTGACTTTCTTAAGGATATCAGTTCTATATTTTTAGGGGGCAGGTAGAGCTATTTTTTCAATAAATAGACTATATATCTTGAGAAAGAAATTTTGTGGTTTAATTTAAGCAGTCTCTGAAACTCCAGAAAAGTTCCCAAGTAAACAAGAGTGAATACTAGTATAATAAAAGTCCTAGACAGGTAAGTGGTGGAGAAGCCTGGAGAATAGTAAACTGAAAAAGTAGGAACACACAGAGTAATTAGCTCTGTGATCACACAGCTACACACCAGCAAGATTGGCCTCTGTGCATACCTGCACCCCTACCCATGAATGTGAATGCGGGTACAGGCCACAGACCATACAGCACATTCTTCTGGAGTGCCAAAACTGGGCAGAAGAACAACACTGAATGTGTGCAGGCTATGAATAAATAAATAAATAAACAAAGGTAGAACTAGCAATGCAAATGATGCTAGATGTCCAGGCAGGGGATATTTCCTCAGTAAATGTGTCATCTTCACTGACAACCAAGCCACCATTCAAGCAATCCAGAACCCCAAGCACACATCAGGCCAGTATATTCTTGTTGAGAGCTTTGAGAATCTGGGTGGGAAGTGCAGTTCTGATGGATTCCAGCCCAATCCTAACCTAGAGTCAACAGCTGAACAATCCCCTGAACCAAACTCATTGCAAACATTGATGATGACCATGAAACCCACTGTCTGACAAAGAATGAAGCAAGAGTGGCAGATAGCTTGGGAAAATGAGAAATATGGAAGATCCCTCTTTCAACTCAGGGCTTGACTCAGAAAAGCAATCTTCAACACACATAAAGCAATACATAGAGCCATCAGCTCAGTGATCACCCAGATGCGTACAGGCAAGATTGGCCTCCGCGCGTATCTCCATTACAGCAAGAGAGTAGGCTGGTATTCGGGACCGGGATGGGATCCCATTTCCCATTGAATCTGGTCCTGGTCCCAAATTTAGAAACAGCTGGGATCCCAAATATGAAATCTTAGTCCCATGTCCCATCCCACTCAAGAGCTTGAGATCCTGTTCCTATCCCTATTCCAGAAATTATTTCCCGGTCCCATTCTCAAATAGAAAATTATGTCCCATATCCCATCCCAGCAGAGATGGTAGACTCCCATTTCCCATCCTGGCCAGGTCCATAGTGGGACTGGAATGGGACCAGGATTCCTGGTCCCATCATGTCAAATTCATAGGGAAGAGTCAAACTGATCAAATTTTGTGTGGACTGTTACCAAATTTTGTTACTTTTTTGATGGGCAATGTACAATCATCTTTTCCAGCATTTAGAAAGAGAGAAGGACAAGATCCAACAGTTAACAACAAGAGAGAACATTCAAGAAGCTATCAAAGCTGCCAACTTGAAATTCTAGAAATATTATAGTGATACTGAGCATCTAAAGAGTGAGCTGCTAGCTGTAGCTGCTGCCCTCCATCCATCATACTGCATGAGAGCATATGATTCAGAGGATTGGACCAGTAATGAGTATGAAACATACTGACAATATATTTTGAGGTTTTACAAAAAGCATTATGAGAAATATGAACAGCCAAGAGAAGTAATACTTGATGTGAATGATATACATTTGTTATAAGTATTATTCTGATTTCTTCTCTGCTAACTTCTCTAGAATATTGAGCAAATGATTTTTGAGAGACCCCATTAAAGATGAGCAAATTTCCAAAATGAAATGGAGTGATATTTAAATGACAAGAATTTGATATCATCTTGAGCTTCAATTCTGGAACAGTGGAGGATGCTAGAGTCTGATTTTTCAACTGTTGCTTGAATGGCAAGAGACATTCTGGCTATATCTTTAATAGAGGTTGGGGTAGAACAGGTTTTCAATATTGCTTGAAATACATGTCATTATTAATAATTGCAGCTCCATGCATCTACAATCAAGAAGATCATGCTGCTTAAACATAAAGATAAGATGCATATGCTAGATAAAGCACTCATATTACATGAGAAGTTGGTCAAGAAAGTCATTCAAGATAATCAAGATGATCAAGATACTCCAGAGATTGTACAGAAAGAAATTGCAAGCCTGCTAAATTCACTACTCAATCCAGATGAGGAACAGAAAATATGTCAATGTTATCAATAGATAGATTCAAGTAGCTAATAGCTTGCAATATGATCTAATTATGCAAAGAGCATTATCAAATTTTGGTACTTTTCTGAAGTTGAATAAATTGATAAAATTATGTTAGGACTGTTACCAAATTTTGTTACTTTTTGACAACATAAATAAGACTGAGATTCCTGGTCTCATTCTACACTTTACTGGTCCTGTCTCATATATAATATTGAAATTCTGGTCCTATCTCATTTTGTCATGTCAGGTCCCGGGCCTGTCCTACTAGCTAGATTTTGATTCTGGTCCCAATCTCATCCCAATTCCAGTTCCCATGGAACTGTCCCAATATGCTGTTAAACAACCTGGTCCTATCTCATTAAGCTGAGCTTCAACCTGATCCTGTCCTTGGGATGGGAATTGGGATGGAAATCTGGAACTGGGACAGGAAATCCCGGAACCAGATACCACTCTACAAGAGAGCCAACACTGACAAGTGCTAATGCGGCTACGGAATGCTGACCGTCCAGCATATCCTTCTGGAATGCTGTGATTGGCTGAAGAGCAGCAACAAATGTGGGCAGGCAAGACTCCAATACAACTAGCATGAGTGTATAACCAGTAGATTGAAGAAGAAGGAGGAGGGCCAGGAAGGGCCTGACAAGGCAGAGACACAGAACAGATAGAAAGGCTATGAATAGAAGAAGCTCAGAGGAAGGAAGCATTCTGCAAGAGTAACCAGCACAACTGGACAACTCTCGCAGGAATCAAAAAGGGGGGGGGGGGCTATGCATTTCTGCATTTCTGCATTTCTGCATTTCTGCATTTCCGCATATCTGCATATCTGCATTATAGCTAGGGCAATATAAAACCCCTCCCACTCCTCATGGAAATAACCAACATAAGCATGGAAAAAATTAAGATCCCCTCATTGCTGGATGGAGTGCCACATAAAACATCAAGATGCTCACCTCAGAAGAAGAATTTCACATCCTCATATGTTACCAACAGAGATGGAACTGGATTTCAGCAGCACCCTCCAATTGAGACAGCAGCAACTCCAGAAGAAAAGCCAATTTAGGAGACTTCAACTCAAACCATTACTCCAGCTGCTACCTCTGGAACTCAGGAAGCATCCTCTAGTGTTCCAGCATCACCTACTGAGAAACATTCTATCAGAGAAGAAAACACTGAATCTTCCAATATAGTTTGTGTGTTATCTAGTACATTCCAGCAAGATGATCAAGTGCACACAGAAGAAACTTTCAGCACACTCCAGAAGAATAAAGAGAAACATTCTCTCAAAAAAGATGTTTTTAAATATCCTAATTTAGATTACTCACCACCTACTACACTCTGGCAAGATAATCAGGTACATGCAGGGGAAAGCTCTGGTACACTCTGACAGAATAAGAGAAAACATTCTCTTAAAGAAGAAGTCATTGAATATTCTAATCACAAGCAGCTCTCAAGTAGAATACCCTTCACAGAACAAGAGTTCATGGACTCTATAAAGGCCATTAAAAAAATCTATAAGTTGAGATCTCAGAAGAGTCTGCAAGTAATGCAGGCACTTTTCATCTGGAAGTCAGATGGGCATCCAGGTATAACTAACACAGTTGCTGGCCTAATTCTTAAAATCAGAGATCACTCTGACAGAATAAAACATGATGTTAAGAGCATTGCAGTGTGGCACAGCCTCCAGAAGAATATACTGGATTATAATATTATTCTTGAACAGCTTGAAGCACCAGAACAATGAAATTACTCTATTGATTATTTTCAGAAGATCACCAGTCTCACAATGTCTGATGATTCAAGATACTTCTTCTCAGCAAATAGTTTCAAGAAAGCTCATGAAGCTTCTCAGAATATCTGCACTATTAATCTCAGAGTTGATAGTGGACATTTACAGCTTCATTGCAATGTTGTTGCATGGGTCCAATCTTCTGCAGCTAAGTGTCAGGTGTTCATCATTTATGAATATCAGGGAATAAAAACAGCACTATTGAAGCCAAGCCAACAGCATTCTTTCAACAGATATCATCTCCCCCAAATGAGATATCATGACAGACTGATGCCAGAAAGGGAAATCTGGCTGGCAAATCAGGTATTACTTAATGGAATCCAACTTGTGGCTAAAGATATTAATGAAGAAAGATACTGTATAAAGATAAAGTATCTCAACAGTCAAGTCAGTTATGAGCTATTGACAAAACTATACATGCTATTTCATCAGAGCCCAGCAATCATCAACCAACTGATTTAAGAGCAATATCTGAGACAAAAGCAAAGATTTCTCAAGACACTTGAGACTGATGAGACTGTCAATAAAAATCTAGAAAGCCTCTTCAACTCTTTCTGCTCACAAAATCATGTTGATACTGTGTCATCACAACAGCACCTCAAATTCAAGCCATTTTATCTCCAGAGATTGGCAGTTACACAACATCCTGACAGAAAGGCCAGCAAATTTCTCAACAGAAAACAGTCAAGCTCACAGCAAGCCATAATGGCTAGACCAAAGTCCAGTCAGAAGAAAGATTCAAAGCTACATGAACAGTTTCAGTCAGTAGAGAACATTTTTTCACTGAGGGAAGAGAGTCTAGTTAAGCCAGCCAAGAAAGATCTAGCAAGCCTGAGCCCAGACCAACACCAGTCAGCCAGAGATAATCAGCAGCAAGTTGCTGATAGCAAGACTTCTTCTTCAAGACATAGTCCAGCTATTGTTGAAACACCATCTCACTCAAGATCAGAATGGAGCTTTATGAACTTCTTCTCAGCCAAGAAAGAGCAATGAGTTGGTTATTTTTACTAGTTTTCTCACTAATATAGTGTCTTCTGTTTTTCTGTTTGCAGGCCATCTGATAGGGAGAGAAAGCTAGAAGACAGTTTGAGCTGGTTAATACACAAGGCTTTTGAATTGGAGGTTTTGCGCACAATACTGTAGTACCATCAGATAATCTGTTTGTTCTAGCTATTAGTAAATTTAACATTGAATGCAGCTTCTTAGAGACTGGTCAGGAAGAGGCTTTCACATCCATTGGGTCCATTGTTGGCAATAACAGCAGTGGAAGTTGGTGTATAACATTAAAGATACAGGTATCCATCTGATTAACCTTCTGATCACAACAGTATGTGGTGCAATAGGATAAAACTGCATTCAATGGCAAATTGAACTTATAACTGTCACACTATGAAGACCTGTTGATCTGATAAGGTTAAGACTCTTGATTTTCTATCTAAAAAAGCAATGAAAATCAGCTCCTTATACTTATGTTCAGTTATAGGCAGCAGAGATAATCTGCAGGTAGTAGCTGTGCTGTCTTGTGCTAGTCTTGATCACATTGTGTGAATCTGTTGACAATACCTGACCTTGACAATACTTGAAGAAACCTACACTTGGAGAACAGTTTTCAAATAGACAAGCACATAAGATTTGTCTGCATATAGTCAAAGGCATCCAGATACCCATCAAGACCAATGCGGTGCATACCACCAGGATGTGAAATATGGAATGAGAGTCCCATAGGTTGAACTTGCCAGGATATTAACTTTTGGGAAACCTGGTCTTCAGAACCCTATGTATTAGGGTCAATCTCTCTCTTATGTGCTGAGTTAAAAGACTTACTGCATAAAACAACGTTCCAGATAGCAGGCAGCCTGCTTTTGCCAGAGTGAAGGGAAAAGCTTTTTCTCATCATCTGCAACATGCCAAACACATTGAGTCCATAGATCAAGGGTGCAACACCAGACAAGCCAGTCACCACAAACAGCAATGCTTGGAAGAGGTGATACTTTTGGCCCTGAAACTTGGAATGCATTGTCATGAAGATGGTCAACGCCCCAAAAACTCCAATCTATCAACCAAGAAAAGAAGAGTGTTAGACTCAAGCACAAGGTCTGAGAAAAGGAAAAACTGAAATTGTGCACATAAGACATTAACTAGCCATAGACCAGTTGTCAAGACACTAGTCTCTATGTAGTTAGTCTCCAGCTTAGCAGCTCGGACCTTTTTTGATCTGATGCAGAGTTTTCATCTTGCTTCTCATCCCACAATCCTTTGGATGAGAGGAGGGAGAGCATGCACATCTATGGAGTTCACATTTCATGGTTCCTGTAGCTTCTGCATATGGTTAGTAGTCTTATAGGTCCTTCCAAGAGGTTCTGAGCCCTTCTTTAGGAATCTTTGAAGGCTTTGGAGTTGCCAAAAGAGGAAAAACCCTTGATGGAATGATGGACATTCACCTGAAGAGCTCCTCAGCTCCAACCCCCAATCCAACCTCCAGAAATATGAGTCCAGCAGGACATATGGAGAATGCTAGCACCAATGTGGGTGCACATTCACAGCCAGCAGGCATCACACAGTGAGTTGGCTTTCTACAGGGTGGCATTGCAGGCCATCAGTTCAGAGAAACAACTCCCCAAATCAAAAGAAATTTCAATATAGCAGACAAAATGATTACATATATCACTGGAACAACAATTCAGTCAATCCTCATGCTACAAGGCAAGAAAAATGTGAATACTTGGTTAAACATTGTCAGGTTGCAGCTAAACCACTATAGCTGGGGGATTCTATATGATGCAGTGGTGCCAGAGCCTACAGAGGTAGGCTGGTATTCAGGACTGGGACAGGATCCCATTTCTCATTAAAACCTGCTCCTGGTCCTGAATTTAGAAACAGCTGGGATCCCAAATATGAAATCTCAGTCCCATGTCCCATCCCACTCAAGAGCTTGAGATCCTGTTCCCATTCCTATTCCAGAAATTATTTCCTGGTCCCATTCTCAAATAGAAAATTATGTCCCATATCCCATTTCAGCAGAGATGGTAGACTCCCATTTCCCATTCCAGCCAGATCTATAGTGGGACTGGAATGGGACCAGAATTTCCAGTCCCATCATGTTAAATTCATAGGGAAGAGTCAAACTGATCAAATTTTGTGTGAACCATTATCAAATTTTGTTACTTTTTTGATGAAGGCAGAACCCATAGAAAAATCAATTTGATTGTCAAAAGAAACAAAGTATTAAAACTAACTAATGGTCAAAGCCAGCAAATAAACAGAAACTGTCTAAGTGGCAAGTTAATCATCATTATCATCATCTTTATCATTATCATCATTCTCCTTCTTCCCCTTCTTCTTCTTCTTCCACTTCTTCTTCTTCTTCTTCTCCTTCTTCTCCTCCTGCTTCTCCAGAACCAGCTTTGTGAACCAGACAGGAGCTCTAATACCTGTCATTTGATGGGTGGAGACCCTGATGGTGCTGGGGGAAGGCAGGAAGGCAGTAATGGGCAGTGGTGGTGGTGGTGAAGTGGTGGCAGTGGTAGTTGGCAGGGGAGGAGCAGCACACAGGTGACAGATAGTGACAGCAGAGGTGGAGTGATCAGATGCATCAATCAGACTGAAATAGTTTGATCTGATTTTAGCACTGATGTCAAGAACAAGCTTTATATTGTTGGTGTTGACTGTAATGTGCTTACAGTGTGCCATTGCCATAACAGAGCCTATATTACTCAGTATAATTATTGGTGCTATTGCTAAGAGTGACTTACACTCAAACAGAGCACACAAGATTGCTTCAGTCACCTTCTAAAATGACTTAATGGCAGTATGTTGCCAGTAATATTTATGTTCTTGGTGACAGGACAAAGTAATTTCCTGAACCAATTGCTGAAATAGGGCCACCAGCAAGATTAGCTTAGTAGAGCTCTGAAAGTAGCAGATTTTCTTGATGGTACCTATTTTCACCAATTAGTATCAAGACCATTACCAAAAATTGTTACTTTTTGACATATGAGTGCCAGCCTTCCAATTTTGAACAGGGGGGTGGGAATGGGGATTCTCCTGATCAAAGTTGGCCAGATCAACATCTTTATTGACTTTATGCCAATTGCTCTTCTTCAGAGCCCATTCTTTTAATGCAGTCTTGTGCTGCTCCTCTCCAGCTATGCAAAATGGACATGCATGAGGAAAACTAACATCTTGTTAGTAAACAATGTGTGTCAGAGCAGTATTCTGCAAGCACTTATCTCTTAACATAACTTATTTTGTCACAGTATATGTTCATTGTACATATAGATGTTGAAGTGCAGTAAATAAAAAGGTGGTGGAGAGAGGGAGGAGAATTGTCAATGTTAGCCCTGAAGAGAAAGAAGAAGAAGAGAAAGAGAAAGAGAAGAGAAAAGAGACTGACCTGATGTTATTATTCTGTAGCCAGCATAGCAACAATATGTTGATCTTGTCCATAGCAACATGTCTGTAGAATGTAAACAATGTGTATAGTAACCATTCTACAGTACTTGATCAATACACTTTATAATCCCATTATTCTGTAGCTAGCATAGCAACAATGCATTGAGCTTGCCCATAGCAATGTGCCTGTAGAATATAAACAATGTGTATAGTAACCATTCTATACAAGTACTTGGTCAATATACTCTATAATCTTATTATTCTGTAGCCAGCAATTTAAGTCATTGCATACAATTGTAAAGATGGGGCCAAAACAATATTCAATAAGAGAGAAGACCTGTACAGCATGAGAGCACCACCAGGCCTTGAAAGGCCATCAAAAAGACATATTCAAGACAGGAGAGGCAGATTACAAGATATGCTATAATATGCTGAAGAGAATTCAAGCAAAACATGAGTAGTATGCACTCTCAGTAGTTTGCATTGAATTATATTAACATTCATTACAGGCAGAATAGCAGTAAGAAGAATTGCAAGATGATTAAAGATAAAGCTATTGAAGAGTTGATGGCCAAGTAATTTGTCAAGAGCAAGTTAAAGAAGTACCATGAGTACCAGCTCATGGTCTCTCAGCAAAAGAAGAGGGAGAAAGAGAAGAAGTATTGTCAAGAAGAGACTACAGAGACTGAGAATGAAGTTCAGCAGAAAAAGAAGATAGAATCCAAAAGTAACAAAATTTGGTAACAGTTCTGACATATTTAGGCCAAAACAAGCTAGGCACAGCATTCTATTGCTGCATATAGAGAGGCCTGATTCTACCAAATGATAGTCAGACTTGAGATCAAGATCATGGCCCATAATCATGATTGTCTTGCGGCAGTCAGTATATCAAGAGAGAGGATTAAGAAGAAGATGAGAGGATTTCTGGGTCAATTACAGAGTCCAAGTGAAGACAACAACAGCTTACCTGCTTCAGAGAAGATGGAGAAAGATGATTTTGAGATTGTGATGTTCTCTAATAAGAATAATGAGGAGAATAATGAGACAGAGAATAATTGAATTATTGATGTCTAGAGGAGAAAGTTAGGTTTGTAGTTCTTTTTTTATATTAATTTGAGAATGAGGTGCCATTAAATTGGCAAAATATTTTATTTTCCTGAAGAAGAATGTTCCATTTTGTAGAAGAAGAAAATTTTGTAGTTGGTTGCTGTACTTACAGAGTAAAATAAGGCTAATTATCTAGAGATTGTCAAATTTTGTGTGGGCTCTGACCACATTTTGTTACTTTTTTGGCTAAGGCAGAACTTAGAGAAAAATCAATTTAATTGTGAAAAAAAAAAAAAAAAAGAAAAATCTAATAGCTGAAGCCAGCAAACAAGCAAAATCTACAGAGATTTCTTCAGAATTAACTATAGTTCAACATGGAAAAAAACAATTTGTATTATGGAAGAAGCTGCATTATAAGTTGTTTGTTACTTGGTGGTTGACTACTGAAGCTGCTCAGTTGATTAATGATAAGAAGCATGGTGACCCCAACTGGAAGGCAAAGCAATGCTATTCTGATTTTTGATCAAAATTTGATCAGGTGGCAGAGCATTCTAAAAGCACTCCAGAAGTGATTTGCAAGCATTGCTAAATCTTTCTCAGTTATTCAAGCTTTTCTCAAAACAGCACAAGTGGTCTGAAGAAGCATTTAATAAGCAAAAATTGTACAAAAACTGGTGACAGACAGGATAACACTCTGGTTAACATGATAGTAGGTCATGGATTCTAATTTCTCAAATGTAATGAATTTTAGTAACAGTTCTGGTGTCTTAGCAACAGTTTCTGAAGCATTCTTAAACAGATTCAGATCTATCTGTTTCTGAATGCAATCAAGATAATTTTCTCTGACAGCTTGTGCAAATATTAATATTCTTGAATCTCTCATTTTATGCTATTAAGAATCCAGCATTCTATACATTAATAACCATACTCAATCCTGCAATGGCTTTACAGATACCCACATGAGAAATATTATATCAGATTATGAATGATATGTACAATCAGCTATTTCAAAATCTTCTCTTTAACCATGACCCAACAACCAAGATATCTCTAGCAGTAGATAGTTGGACAAGTCCCAATAATCTTGTCTTTATGGCAATTAATGATGATTATATTACAAAGAATTGGAAGTACTGTGAGCATTTACTAGGTTTTGAAAGTTTAGAGGATGCTTATACTGGCAAGAATATGACAGAGATTCTCTAATAATTACTAGCAGCATGAAGACTTGAGAGTAATCTTCTTGTAATTACAAGTAACAATGTGTCAAACAATAATACCATGCAAGCACATCTTACACATCAGTTGAGGCCAGCATTGCAGCAGTTGAACAAGACAACTGATTGAGATGCAGAGAGTGAGATAATACTCTGTCTTGCTTATGTAATTTAACTTGTGGTTCAAGAGCTGGTTTGCAATCTCAAGATTCAGCCAGATAATGATGCTCTACCCACTATCTTTAATGAGAGCTTAATTACTGATAATCTAGCATCAACAGACACATTTGCAAATACTCTTAGAAAGGTAATGAAATTTGGTAATGGTCTTGATATACTTGAGTTGATTTACTAATCTTTGCTTGACAATAGATTTGTCTTGTTGCCAATGCAATCAATACTTCTCCCTCACTTGCTGCACATTTCCAAGAATATCAACAAGAGAACCAGTGCAAGATGATTCAAGATGTTCACACAAGATGGAATTCCATCTATAAGATGTGTATTTGTGCCTTGTTGCTTTGACAAGCTGTAGACTCATGAATCCAGAACTCATCACCAAAATATTAAAGACTTTGCTTATTGGATCATGACTGAAAGCAGCTAGAGTATATGATTGAACTGTTGCAGCCATTCAGTTGATTTACCAAGATACTGTCCAAAACAACAGGCTCAATAATTCATCTGGCATAAGTAATATACAGTCATCTTTTCCAGTATTTAGAAAGAGAGAAGGACAAGATCCAACAGTTAACAACAAGAGAGAACATTCAAGAAGCTATCAAAGCTGCCAACTTGAAATTCCAGAAATACTATAGTGATACTGAGCATCTAAAGAGTGAGCTGCTAGCTGTAGCTGCTGCCCTCCATCCATCACATCATATAAGAGCATATGATTCAGAGAATTGGACCAGTAATGAGTGTGAAACATACTAATAAAATATTTTGAGATTTTACAAAAACCATTATGAGAAATATGAACAGCCAAGAGAAGTAATACTTGATGTAAATAATATATGTTTGTTATAAGTATTATTCTGATTTCTTCTCTGCTAACTTCTCTAGAATATTGAGCAAATGATTTTTGAGAGATCTCATTAAAGATAAGCAAATTTCCAAAATGAAATGGAGTGATATTTAAATGACAAGAATTTGACATCATCTCAAGCTCCAATTCTGGAATAGTGGAGAATGCTAGAGTCTGATTTTCCAACTGTTGCTCAGATAGCAAGAAATATTCTGACTATATCTTTAACAGAGATTGGGATAGAACAGGTTTTCAATGTTGCTCAGAATACATGTCATTATCAATAATTACAGCTTCATGCATCTATAATTAAGAAGATTATGCTGCTTAAACATGAAGATAAGATGCATATGCTGGATGAAGCACTCATATTACATGAGAAGTTGGTCAAGAAAGTCATTCAAGATAATCAAGATGATCAAGATACTCCAGAGATTGTACAGAAAGAAATTGCAAGCCTGCTAAATCCACTACTTAATCCAGATGAGAAACAGAAAATACATTAACATTATCAATAGATAGACTTAAGTAGCTAATAGCTTGCAATATGATTCAATTATGTAAAGAGCATTACCAAATTTCAGTACTTTTCCAAAGTTAAATAAATTAATAAAATTATGTTAGGACCATTACCAAATTTCATTACTTTTTGACAACATAAATGAAACTGGGGTTTCCAGTCCCATTCTACACTTTACTGGTCCCATTCCATATATAATATTGAAATCCTGGTCCTATTCTATTTTGTCATGTCAGGTTCTGGGCCTATTCTACTAGCTAGATTTTGATTCTGATCCCAATCCCATCTCAATTTCAGTTCCCACAGAACTGTCCCAATATGCTGTTAAACAATCCAGTCCCATTCCATTAAGCTGAGCTTCAACCTGATCCCATTCTCAGGACAGGAATTGGGATGGAAATCTGGGACCAGAACAGGAAATTCCAGAACTGGATACCACTCTATTCAAAAGGTTCTTGCCAAATTCTACATGAGTGACTCAATAATCCAGACCATCTCTATGGCAGAAGGAGTATGGCTTATACAGAAGTCTGAGCCTAGTTCAGTAGTTGCTGAAAGCATTATGAACTGGCTGCAACAGCTTCTTGAAGCTCTCAATTGGCTCTTGATAAAGAGCTGCCCTGATATTATATTAGCTGTCAACAAACTCCAACAATTTGCTATAAAGCCAATACTAGAGCACCTAGGATATAGCAAACAAATACTGTGTTATTTGAAAGAATCTCCCATGCTAGATCTAACTGTTGAAGGCACCCTGAAGCCTGGAATCCCAAAATTACAAGTCTATATAGATGCTAGTCATCAAGACTGCAAGGAAGGATGCTCAACAGAAGCATATGTATTATTTTATATGGGAACTCCCATTGCATGGAGCTCAAAATGCCAAAAGATTGTTGCACTGTCAAGTACAGTAGCAGAATTTTGTGCTCTTGATTCTGCTGTGAAGGAAGCACTCTGTATTCAGAAGCTCTTACAAGATCTTGATCTTCTAGCAAAAGCTCTGATTCCTATATATATGGATAGTGTGAACACTATAGCACTAGCTCACAAGCTGACATACACACTGGCCACCAGGTGGATAGATACACATTGGTTCTTTGTGAAGGAGCTTCTCAAAGAGGAAAGGGTGAAGCTCTACCATATACCAGGAACAGAGAATCCAGCAGACAGCTTGATAAAGCCACTTGGAAAACAAAAATTTAAAGAATTCTTACAGATGTTGAATCTCAACAACATGGATCCTACATTCACACTTACTTGATTAGGATGACACAAACACCAGTGGAAGTGGCATAACCTACCACAACATTACACCAGCAACAGATTTGGAGCTCAACCTCCAATTTGGACTTCCACTTACCATTTACTAAGAAATATTCCACTCATTTGGTTATTGAATCAGCTTGGATTCTGGATTTGTTGGATTTATGTATTTAGAAATTTGTCTTCTTCCAGTACTTGCTGGAGCCTAGGGGGCGGTGTCAAGACACTAGTCTCTATGTAGTTAGTCTCCAGCTTAGCGGCTCGGATCTTCTTTGATCCAATGCAGAGTTTTTTGTCTTGCTTCTGATCTCACAATCTTTTGAATGGGAGGAGAGCGAGAGCAGGCACATCTATTGAGTTCACGTTCTGTGGTTCCTATAGCTTCCACATATGGTTAGTAGCCTCGTAGGTCCTTCCGAGACATCGCCCCTTTGGGAGGCGAGCAGGGATAATGACCATGGTACCCCATGGGAACTATCAGTTCTATGGAATCAACTCTTATGCAGGCATTGGTGATGTTCAAATATATATACTGGTGATTTTCCCCTTCAAACCAGCAGGTTACTTGACCCTTAACCCCCAGGACTATCAACCCCACATTCTGACAGTACACAGACATTCAGCCACACTCTACATTATTGATTAAACACTGCTAAGAGCAGCAATAGATAGGTAAGGTGAGAGCTATTATTGTCACGGGCTTTGCTAAAGAATGAGTTAGACTATCAGCAATGGCGACCCCAAAACAGATTTATTTTATTCCTGACTCTGATCCCACATCCATGGCTCCCTCTACAGGATTAGGCCCTGCCAATATTTTTCATGTTTTCTGATTCAAGGATGGCTGGCTTACTGTTGCTGCAATAGAGCCTCAGGTTTCTGGAGTTCAGAATATATCTGTAGAATTTTCCTGTGATATAGAAAGCTTCCTCTATGCCACAGCAGTTGCACAGTGTACCTCTCTGGACACCAAGACAGCATATTTGTGGATTATCAGTGACTGAGATATGGGGGAACAATTCAAATCAATCTGTAAGGCTCGAGATGCAGTGATAATTGACCATCTGGAGGCTGTGGTGGTAGAGTGGTAGAAGATTATGACTACCCTGGATGAAATAGAGTGTCAGGCACCCAAATCACCTGTGAAATGCTTATGTGGTAGTTTGCATTTACTAGAAAAGGCTCTATATTGTATCCACAACATCATTCAAAGGGGTATCACCAAACATCCTGAGTGCTGGAGAGTGATTCTTGATGTTCCTCTGCCTGCAGTTGCTGATTGTGTTGGGAGAATTCAAATTTTTCTAACTGACCCATCATGGCCCAAGACTCCTGGCAATATTCAACATTCAATGGTGCCACTTAAGCTTGTTAGAGAAGGTGCAAGGAGGAAATGAGAGAGCTTAAAGCAAGGCTTGCATGCCTCAGGGCAAGACAGCATTCTCACAGCACAAGGCCTATCCTGGTATGCACTCTCAGGTCCACTGCTAGAATTCTCTACTCACTGCTTTTTTAGACTGAGAGGTCTACTGTGTACCAGAGCCTGCTTCATCTATGCTTGATTCTCTGCAGGTGCAACTATCCTGTTGTCTGCAGGCTTTAAAAAGAGATGGATGTGGTCTTCTGGCAGCACAGTGACTGGAAAGAGAGATACAGACAACTTAATCATCTCTTGGATGATGACTACAAAGATCTTGCTTGCACTCTGAGGGACTTTGCTTCATTTGAAAACATTGAATTGACAGGCAAGAAAGTGAAGAATCAGGTTATGGGTCTGATGGCAAAACTCAAGGCAAGTGCAGGTGAGATAACTCATGAAAATGAATCCACTTCCTGAGTGAGTGATGAGTTCAGCATTCATGCAAACATCATGCTACTCTGCGCCCCCATTGGAATATTTGCTATTGTTCCAGAGCTAGAAGATGATGTACTTTACAGGACAGATCCCAAAGATCATGCCACTGAGCTCAGCCAGTCACCTCTGTATCAGAACATGGCTGTTACTGCAAAAAGCACAAAAAATGAGCTTGCTAGCATTATCTTCTCTCTGGAGCTGCAACATCTTTCCATCCAAACAGCAAAAGATGGTCTGTCAGTTGGCTCTCACAGTTGGCAGAGGCTTCTTAAAAGGTCCAGCTACAACAGTATTGACAACACCAACAAGGAAAAATGACAGAGATAAAGGGGCAAAGAGGCCATTGATAGATGCAGCAAATCTCAATCTGAATCTGACTAGGCTCTATTCCAAGGGAGGGAATGGCTCAGGCCCAGGATTTTATTATGATATGTAATATATTTGTGTTCCACATCTTGTTCCAGCCTTTAATACTGACACTTCCAAAACAGCCCCTGACTATACCTAAGACACTACAATCAAAAACAGTTCCCACCATCACTGCAAAACTTTCCCATGAACACACTAGTGTTTTCTCTGTTCACAAGACAGCCTGCCTGCTAGCCAGTCTTTGGTTTGGCCTCTGTGGCTTTCCAGCACTGTGAGATGACTTCTTCCATTTTGTCAAGTGACATCCCAGGCAAATGGCTGTTCTCCCTGCATTCCCCTATGATGGCACAATTAGAATGAGATAACTCAGTTTTATTTTCACATACTACACTGGTTTTTTGTGTGTTTCCTAAGTCAGGTTAGTCCTCTCATTACATGAAAGGGCAAAGGAAAGGCAAACTTACTCCTTGATAATTCTTGGAGGATATTGTCTCTTTGTTGTCTGATATGCTTTTTATCTATTGGGCTTAGCTCTCTGGCCCTCTCAATCAGCTCATGGCTGGGTTCAGAAATATTGTCAAGGGTATGATAGATGCTGAGGCTCTGTTTGGCCTACTGCACCAGAAGCCAACTATCATCAATAAGTCTGGTGCTCAAGAGCTGGTTTACAAAGAGGGACAGGTAGCATTCCAGAATGTCAAATATGATCCCAGAAGAAAGGTCTTAAAAGATCTGAATTTTGAAGCCTTTCCAAACTGGATTACAGCCATTGTTGGAAAATCTGGAAAAGGAAAATCAACAATTCTAGGTTTGCTCCTCCAATTTTACAATCCAACAGCTGGAACTATCTATATTGATGGGCAGGATATCTCCAAAGTCACTCTTGATAGTCTGATAGCAACACTCAGCATTGTTCTTCAGAGCCCAGAGCTCTTCAGTAACATGATCATGGCCAATGTTTGCTTTGGGAGGCTGGATGCCACTAATGAGGAGGTCATAGATGCATGCAAAGCTGCTGCCATTCATGATAAGATTATGAGTTTCCCTGATTGCTACAATACTGTCATGGGAGACAGTGGGCCAAGCCTGTCACACAGGGAACAGCAGCATGTTGCAATAGCACAGGTGATTCTTAAGAATCCAAAGATTGTTCTTCTGGATGAAGTCACTGCCAGCTTGGACAGTGAGATAAAATCACAAGTTCAGCAGGGTCTGCAGCAGCTCTTGACTGGTCAGACCACAATAATCATTGCATAAGTATTTCTCAAGATGGCATAGTGTTGCTGCTAACTATTCTCACAGGCACTGCCTTTCTACCATCAAGAAGGCAGACCAGATACTTGTAGTAGGTGACAGCAAGATTATAAAAAGGGGTATACATACAGAGCTTTTGAGATGTAACAGCTATTATTGCCATCTTTGTGATTTGCAAGACCTTTCTACTTTAGATAAAGAGGAACTGTCAAGCACAAGCTCATGAGAGAGTCTGATTTGCCAAAGAATATCACAGGCCAATGGGGATCAGAATGACAAGATAGATTTACTGTTGTATGTAGTGATAATTGTGATGGTGCAAGGTCCTAATTTCCTAGAGTGGCCTAGCACCACTATGCCAATTCAGATATAGTGTTGTCTTGGTGTCTGTGGCAAGGGAACTTTGTCTTGGGCTTTCTTGCCTAATACCTGTAACTGTCTTCCTATTTTGTCTTTCTCGGCCACTATATATAAAGTCTGAAATGAGCTGAATGGCTAGAGCAAGTCAGGCACTAGAATGAGTGAATGTCAGTGAGTGAATGACTAGTAACATTCTGTAGATGTAGGATGAGTAAATGGCTAAAATGAGTGAATGACTAGGCTGAGTGAATGACTAGGATGAGCAAATGGCTGGGACAAGTAAATGACTAGGACAAGTGAATGACTAGGGATAGTGGAATACTGAGTGAATGGTAGAGATGATCACCTATGTTCCTTTTGGATGATTGTGGACAAGGTGACAATTAAGAACAGGTTAATGATAGGGGCTATTCTGTCAACTGCTTGTTCTGCTTGCATCTCTATTCACTTGATCTAGTTGCTCTCAGATGGTGAATGCGCGGACTGAAATGTTGGTGTCTGATGGAGGACTCATATGCTTGTCATTCACTAAGCTACCTAAAGGGGAATCTTGGCTAATCTATGTGGGTCATGTGAGTGAGGTGCTAGTTGGATTATCTAACACTGTGCCTGCCCTTTCAATTCTCCCTTTCTGGGCTTAGGGTCTTGGCACTTCTCCAAAGGCTTCTGGTTTGCCAGGGCTGCCTCTTCAAGCAACTCTCTCAATATTCTGTGGCAGCTCATGTTGCAGGTATGACAAAATTATTGCAAGCCAAAATTCAGGAGCAAAACAAGCATGCAAGACTTGCAGTTCTTCCAAGAGAACTAATATGTGAAATTGCAGCATACCTTCAGCCCCAGAATTACTATGTCTTCAGCCAATGCTGTTGTGAAATTTACAGTTTAACTCAGAATTATGCTTGTGCTTGCATTGCTGTTCAGGTACTACCTCCCTGCCTGATATTATTAGAAGTAATGCTGACTTCCTCCTAGGCACACATTCCTCATACTCTTGACACAAAGTTGGTGGATCAAAAGCAAATCAGCTTTTATGATGCCATACACTGTACTGTTTTTAGAATGAATGCCATGGATACAGGCTGCCTCTATTTTGTGGGTCAGATTGACAATATAATCAGATTTCATATGAAAGATGGTGTTCTCTGCTACCAAGACACCAGTAGTATTGGTGTGATGGATATCTCCCTGGATCACATCAAACATCTTTCTCTGGAGACTGGTCCCTGCCAATATGAGCTTCTGCATTATAGCAGTGGCTTTATATCCTATCTGAGCTTTTCAGAGTCATGCTCTCTCCTTGCACTTAATATCATTAATATCTACTCCAACATCTCATGGGTTAAAACACTTCTGTCTACCCAACACCCTACTTTCATCTGAAATGATTGCACACTGCTTGTGTATGGCTATCAGCTAGAGGCTGCGGGTACCAGAGAGTAGTACATACAAGCCATCAGGTTAGATACTAGCAAAATCATCCCCAAAATGCCAGTCCAACTCCACAACTTCTTGAGCTTTGATATTGAGAAAGATATCTGTTTTGAGGTTCAAGATGGGTGCCTTCATGCTGTTTCAATTGGAATGCTACCTGGCAGCCAGACATCCTGGTATACATACCTTGTCTTACCAGCAAGCAAGAAAGTCTCTCCAAGGTGGACAATATATCAACATCCACCAATGGTAAATGAGCTTTACTCAGACAGTTTAAGGCTCATGGCTGACTGCATCACCAGAAAACTTCTTATTGTGGAGAATTGCCATACAAAGCAGAACTATGTTCACTGGAGCAACAAACACTATCTCCAGCAACTGGACAGGGAAGATGAGGATGGCTTGTGGTGAGAGGGGTTCCCTGAATCTGATATGCTGTTACAGGAGGATGGGCTTTGGGCAACTCTTTAGCCTAAATCTTCAATTTCAGACTCCAGTAATTGGATGGCATGGCTACAAGAGTTTGGTACTCTAGATTCTATGTTTGTTGAGTTTTCAGACTGCAAGGAGTTTGACTTTTATTTATTGATTAAGACACAGTGGGGGAACACAATATATTGGCAACCCAAGAGTGTCATTGTGGAAATCAAATCACCAGAACACTTGTACATGAACAATAGGAACTGTGTTTTGTTAACTGATAGAAGGAGACTTGTTGTGCTGAGCTTTGATCCAGCAAGTCCAGGCCTCAAAAGGTGGTGTGCTAAGGTGATATTCTACTGGTGAAACATGTAGATACAGGAAAACTTACAGCAGCTCATCCCCTCTTGAACCATAATAGCTGGGAAAATGCCATGGTCTTCCAAAAAAGGAACAACTTGCAGATGGAGATGGTCTTGTTTGAGATGTTCATCAAGGCCATCCCAGTTAATATTTGGATATCCGCGCTCCATTCATTTCTGGGCAGTCTCCATCTGGTGAGCTCTGCAGAGTGAGAGGATGATGGCAGAAGAAATATGAGTGGATGTGTGAATAATCTCAGCCCCATTGCAGTCACTGGGCACTGACCTCAGAAGGCAGAAGTCATTGGAAGAACATCAGACCACTTGGAGTTGACAGAGAGCCCTAATCAATCCAATCAGTCAAGAGGATGGCAAACCAGCCACTGCTGCAGAATTATGGCTCTTGGTTTGATTGGCTGAGAGACAATGGGGTAGTGCCATGTGAAGGGTTTTGTGGGATGTGATGCCTGCACAAAGGATGATAGAACAAATAAGATAAGCCTGAGTGGTCCCCAAATCCTTGCCTGAGGTCTTCAGATCAGGCAATCATGCATGCCAGCATGTTCCTTCTTACTCAATTGGTTGATCTGTTCTGACTCTCTGCAGGATGTACTGGCATCAAAGGACAGACAGAAACAGGAGGATTGCTCCAACAACCATAAAAATGAGATCAGTTCCTCATTCCTCTCAAGATACTTTCCTCTTGAAGTTGCAGAGCTGAGGGTCAAATTGTTCTGATACAGCAAACCCATTCCATGTGTAAGGGATCTGTATCCATTCCCTAATTTTGCCTGGATGCTAATCCGCCCCCACTTCTCTAGGTAAAATAAAATGGCTTCTCAGACTACCAGAACTCTCTCTGATAATATCAGTACTGAGCTTCAAGCAAAACTTAAGGAGCAAGAGCAACTCCAACAACAGGCACTTAAGCTTGAAGACTATAAAATCTCTGAAAGAATAGGATGCAAACTTAAAGCTACTCTTCTCCAGTGCAAAACATTTGTGGGACTTGTGCCACCACACTGAAACAATGTTCACTGATGAGGAAATACAAAGGCATCAGGTGGAATTGGAAGATATTAAGGAAAGGATTCTTGTTTTACAACAAGCTATCACATTGCTATCACAGCAAGGCTGAAGAGAAAAGGTACTAGGTGAGCATTACACATTATTGCTGCTGTCTAACCATAATGCAGCAGACAGAGACACTGACACCAACTAGCAACCAATACCACCAATGAGGGAGGAAAGGAACAACACTCTCAACATCAAAGTGCTCTCATATTTACTGTAGAGCAGCGGGCTCATGTTTCACAGATGGGAGGTCTTGTTTCTTCAGTTTGGCTAGCTCGGGTGCAATTGGTTCTAATCCTGCTGCTTCCAATTCCTGCTTGAAAGCCTCAAATTTGGATATTTTTTTCTGTAGTTCTTCCACTAGTGGCTTCTGCAGAGGAAGCTTGAAGAAGTTCTTTACTCTCTTGCTGCTGTCTTCACCATAGTATGCCTGATCTAACAGGTTCCAGTAGACATTCCCCAAATAGCATGGTTTCAAGAGTGTGTACGCGATAAACATCTTCTTTGGCAGGAGGTTTGTTGTCAAGTGTTGAGCTATAGAAAGAGTATATTTATACCTCTTCTCTGGGTTATAGTATCTGTCTTCTCTTTCTATTGTAGCTTGCTCAAAGCAGGAAGCCTGTACTATAAAACTATAGTCATAGAGCTTTCTTGTGGCAGCCGGCAGCTCCTGGCCAGTAATCCAAGATAGCAGGACAAACATTTGTAGCAGAACTGTGTGACTCCACTCCCAATTGATGACTGAGATGATGTTCAGATCATCATCCATAAAGATATTGGGCAGGAGGGCAAAAATCCCCATGCATAAGAATGAATGGCCTGTGGTTGTCTTCTTGATTGACCCATTCCATCATGATGCCTTGGGATGCAAATATGCTGTATAAATAATTCTGTGCATCCTTCTCATTGAGGATACTATCTCTCCTGTGGTAAAAGTCATTGAAAACTAATTTTAGAACAGCATAGATGTAATTGATGGTGGAATTATAGGTTTAGCAGGCAGGAATGATCTCTGAGCTGTTCATCCTGCTGAGTTCCTGGTTATTCAGCTTAATGATGAGAGGGTGATTATGATCAAATACTCACTTTTCATTATTGCCATCAAGTATGAAAGCCCTGATGTGATCAAATTGCTGGTGATAAAGTTGAATATAGATGTCAGCAAGCTGGTTGAGCAGATGCAACCTCAGCTCATCTGAAAGGCACAGCACATCAATTTCATAAAGAGTCTTGCCAGTAATGTACTCAACAGTCATGAAGAGAAGGCCAAGAACATTATCTTGATAGATGAAATATCTGAAAAGATGTAGAATAGAAATGGTGATCTTCTGAGAAATGTACCTATATAGCAGAACAGTGTTGTTAGAGTCTGTTAACAAGCAGAAATATACTGAGTTTCTTACTTTATTATTGCTATCTTGCCTTGCATCTTCTTCTCAGAGAAGGCAAGATGTGGGAGCAGAGAAATTTGGATCATCTATTGTTCAGCACTCTGGGTAGGCTCAATATTAGCACTCTGGTCAGCTATGTTCATGAAAATAACTGGAAAGCAGATATTATAGCTCCATTTCATTGGAGCTGAGAAGATCCAGCATGGCTTCTTCTCAGAGTGCAAGAAAGAAGCTAGCTTGCAGATAGAAGATAGCTTGACCAGTCTGATGAACTTCTCAACCTTATTATTGAGATGATGACAGGTGAGTTGATTCATAATACTAAAGAACAAGAAATTAATGTGTCAGCAACAACTGTCTCTCAAGATCTGCTGGGCAGAAGCTGTCAAGAAGAGCTCAGGACAGAAAAACATTACTCTCTGAAAAGAATATGGCAACAGAGCTTTGCATTGCTTTCTCATCAGGGTCTGAGAAATAACTGAATAAGCTTTTTGAAATAGTGAAATTTTATTGTTGAAGATTGGGTATCTTCTCTCATTCAAGAAGACATGATTGCTAACATATATTAATATAAAGTAGGACATTCATATTGAAACTCCCCCTCTCTCTTTCTGGGTCTCATGAAATAAGTCATCCATGCACCACAAAGAACCATATAATGTAATGATAAACAGTCTTCATTCATAACAACAGAAGGCTTAACCAATATTCTGCCTTGCTAGAATTCTCTCAACTATACAAATGTAGTGTCATACTTAATTCAGATTGTGTTGGTGACACTAACTGAAGTTCTTTACCTAACTTTGAGAGAGCTGCATGGACTTTCTTTGTTCATGACTCAAGACAATCCAAATGTCTCTGCAGCCCTTTCACAATACTGGAAGTTTAGCTAGTTCTATACCAGAGGTTCTGTTCTGTACTCACCCTTTTAACAAGACAATCTTATGAGAAGGTTAGTTTAAAGCTTCTGATATGCAAGAAGTTGGCTTACTCAGCCTCAAGTTCTTTAATTTTATTCTCATTGCTGTAGGCAGGCTCCACTGTGGTGTATTGCTCAGAAGAAGTATGTGCAAGCTCAGAAAGACTTTTATCAAAGAGCTGGAGAGGAAGCCTGGACAAGATTGCATTCATTATAGTTGGAGATATGTCAGCCATGTTGGTATACTCTGGCTGAAGGGGCTGCTGGTTGAGACTATAATGGGAGGATGGTGTGTATGGATAGCAAGTAGCAAAGCTGGCAAAAGCTTCAAGGGCAGAATGTAGTAAAGTTTGGAGATGAGAAAAGATATTGCAGCAGAATCTGACCTTTTTATGTCTTTGAATTTTCCATGCAAACTGCCTCCAGTGGTAGCATCATGGTTCTATTTTTATTATGCCTTGGAACCTTGCATATGAACTGGCATTCTAATTGACTCCACCTCCAGCAGTAGCATCATGATCCCAACCCAACATATAGCTGACATATCAGATGGGCCTTCTGTTCAGCACCAGATGAGAAGAAGCACAGAATCTCATTCAATCAAGCCAAAGATAAAAGAGATAGGTTCTGAGAATATGTGCTAGAACTAATAGGCACCAGAAGAAAATGTCAATCAATGCAATCAAGTATCTCAGAGGCTGTGGAATTATATTGATGCTTCCCATTCAGCTCTTCTTGCTAGAGAAACAGCTACTGGCACAACAAAATATTATCAAAAATTTTACAGTGATGATGTCAAACTGCATTAGGCTGCTCAGCCATGTGTCAGAAGAGAGAATTAGGAAGCTAAAAGAGAGAGATATCTAGTGGAACTGCATATGTATGTATTAGATCTCTATAAAACTTCCTTCTCTTAACTAATATACTAGTACAGCCATGAACAAGGCCAACAGAATGATAAAGGTGCTTGGGGCCAACTCCTATAAAAAGTTTGTTCATTATCTATAAATGAAGACTCTCAAGGCCTTCTGTGTCTCTGCTGCTGCTGTAGTGGCCAGCAGCAACAGCAGTAGTGCAGGAGTGAATAAAATCATGAATACTGTAATTCTGGAGATAAATAGCATTGAGATTATTATTGACTCAAGCACTGGCAACTGCCAGAAAAGCACAGACAGCACACAGCTGTGTCCCTGGCAATGTAATATGAATGTCTGAACTGATGAGGTACCTAACACTCAAGAGACAGAAAGTTAGTAAAAGTGAACATGTGGAATCAGTAAATGGGGAATAATTACTGTAATATGAGAGATTTCAACATCAGTAGTTATTCACACAAGAGAGAGGCCAAATGGCAGTGAGGGGTATATTTGGACTAGTCTGAATAGAGAAACTAGAATCCAATTTGGTAATTTATTTTTTTTATTGTGTTTTTGAGTGAATTGAGCCTGAAAGAAGTTTGCTTGAGAGAAGCCTGCAAGCTGTGAAGTATGAAGAGTATTATGTAATACTTCTAGCTCTACAAGTCTTGCTCAGCAACTCTCTCTTCTTCTGTTAAAGAGCTTGAGTATCTATAACTGCCAGCTCTGATAGCAAACAGCACACCACTTTGCTAGAGATTTTGCATTAATATGCTTGTGTTAGAGGAGTGTCTTCTTCATTCTTGTATAGAAGCAGTGGGTCAGCACCTGCAGCTATCAGAATCTCAATAACTTGAATATAGGAAGAGGGCTATCTATTATATAGCTGATAGATTTTGAGCCTGTTGACTGCATAGTATAAAGAGGTTCTTGATTTTCCATCTTGAAGATCAGAATTAAGTTCATGGGTGATGAAAAAGCTGGTAGCTTTCAGGTTTCCTGAGGCTGCATAATGTAGCACACTCTTGCCATAGTGATCTTTGTAGCTAAGATTGATTTTATGGCAAGCAAGTATGAAGAGACTTGTGGAGTTTTGGCAGTGCCCCCATGTCTGTAGAGTATCTCTATAGATTGCTACACCAGCATCAAGCAAAACATCAAAAACATCAGGCTGACTCTTTAGTGTATTAGCTATTTCCACTTCTTGTGGAAGTGCCAGAACCTTTCTGCAGAGTAACTTGACAATTAACAATTGTTCATACTGCATAGCAATAGTTAGGGCTGTTAAGATAATGCTGTTTCTCCATGCAGCACTCATGTTATGTTCAAGAAGCCATTCAACAACATCATTGCTGTTATATTAAGCAGCTAACATCAGGGGAGTAGAGCCACTGAATTCAAAATCCATAATAACAGACTTATAGCCAGATCTTCTCTCCACAAACTCTCAAAGCTCTTTAGTACCATATCTTCCAAGCATAAGATAATATGGTTTAGACACTGGTATGCTACTGTTGTTCAAATCATCAGTCAAAATCTTCTTGAACAGTTTTATTCACTCTTCTTTAGTGATGGTGTGAAGTATGAAAGTTTTATATCTTGATCAGCTGATCCAGCTTCAGGCAGCAAGATTGAATTGTCTATTAGCATATGCCAATGCTATTACAGAATTGAAGGGTAAATTTGATAATATTATATCAAGAATTTTATTTGAAAGACAGTGCAGCTGCATCTTGCTCAGTATTAAATATGAAGAGAAAGAAAATTTCATCTGCTGGCTTATGAGTGTTGTGAGAAAGAGTCTGAGCTTGTCTGTTTCAAGCAGGCAAGTGTTAGTTATCTGTTTGTAGTATGTATTTGATGTAAACACACAAAAAGGCAGAAAGGCAGAAAGAGAGAAATCTATGAATTATTTGATCTGGTTGAAGGCTGGTCTTGGCATTCACCAAGACTCCTTTCTAATCTAGTCTGATAGATCTCTACCAATCCAATTCTTACTCTTCCAACAGCACTGACACAGCTCCACATGATGAGAATTCATGTGTTTAACAAAGACAGGGCTCCCACACTGAGGGTGAATTCAAATGAACTGAATTAAGCCATACTATTATCAGCACAATTCAATTGAGGAATCACCCTGATTGCACCCTTTATTACCAGGCACAGTCCAGGTATTATGTTGATAATGTGATTGGATACAAGAGCAGCACAATACTGCCCACTTTGTGCTCTGCTTATTGTATATCAGATGTAGCCAAATAGATAAGTAGTAATCTACAGCAAATTTCAGGGAGTTACTTTACATGATATCTGGTTTCCTATTTCTTGACACTTTGTGGCACTTCAGATTCAACTTTAGAGACTTGACTAGTTTATCCTGCTCTTCTACTATAATAAGCAAACTGGCATTATGTTGCTTGAGCATATCCATCAATTCATTTAGTCTTTTCAAGCTGGCTTCAGTATGGTGGTGTATTGAAAGAGCAATCTATCCAAAGCCTCTTGCACACTGGAATGATCTTGATATCTTTCTTGCATCTGGAGTTCTAGTAGCTCCTGGTTGAGAGCTTTGGCAGCAGATAAGATCTTCTATTGTTAGTCTGGTTAACCATCTATAATATTTTTCTTATTCTTGTCCTACTTACCTGCAAGAGCTGATTAGAATTTTCTGCCATGAGGCCCTTAATTCACAAATTCAATAATAAAGCAGGTAGACGCATCCTTTTATTTTGGAAGATTTGGGCTTGGAGTTTGCCAGAAATGTCATGAAGGCACTAAAGAGTAATTTTTAGGGAGAATGCAGAAAGTGGTGTGATGAGTGTAATATAACTGACTAAACCCACAGTACATCCAGAAGATGAAAATAACTCTAAAATCACATAATAAAAGAGAGATGCAGCAGGAACATTGTATGTACAGAGAGGTTGTTGTCCAAGGTTACTATCAACTAGATAAAATGAACAGAAAACAGCTAGAATAAATAGAAAACTCTTGCTGCCTGTCCCTCTGGATCTCACTTTTTCTTGTATTTAACTGACAAATCATGAATAGTATCTCTGATATGCTGGAGGAAAGGCTGCAGTTGCTTGATATAATTTGTCAAGCAGTTGATTTTCCTGGAGGGGTCAGTACCAAGCTGCTGGTAACAAGAAGAGAAGAAGTATTCACTCATTCTTATTCTGAAGACTGAGTTCCAGTTTAGCCACTTAGCTATTCATAATCAATATCTACTTGGTGTTCAGAGTCTGAACCTGTTCAGAGAGATCTTCAACTTTCTCAGCCACTTTTTCTAATGGTGCTTCAGAAAGATCTGAAATGAGGCCTGGAATCTCCATTTTCTCAAAAGTTTTAGCCTCATTCATGGAGAGAAGTGTGGAGTTTGTAGTGCTGTCTGAGAATGGCTCTTGGCTAAAATTGAAATCTAGATTAAGAAGAGCTGGATCCAGACAGAAAAGTGGTAAGTCTTCCTCAGAAAGTTAGCCCAGTTTCTTTGCAAGTGCTTTGAGCTGCTTCTCATCAAGTTGCTGGAGATAGTCCATTACAGGTAATATGAAGGGCATTTGGCTGTAATCAATGTAATAAAGAGGGAATTTCACAAAGAAGAAGATGATGCAATACTACATTCAGAAGGTTTGTGTACAAGTGTGTGGTGAATTTATATGCTCTTTGGTTATTTAGCTTTGGCTCAAATATGCATTTCTCTTGTTCAATTGATTCCTTAGAGTGTTTATGATAGCAAACTATAGACATTCTTTAAAAGTATCTTAGGGAAGAAGGCAAGGCAAAACAATCACTTGACATCAATAGCAAAAATATTAAAGACATAACAGTGAAAGACATACCAAAGCAGTCTAATAATTCTAACTGCAGTCTTTATCTTATGGCATATCTTGAGAAGTTCATTCAAGATCTGCATGATTTTGTCACCAAACTCTGCAAGAGTAAAATGAATGAGAATATGGACTGGCTAAGATTGAAATCTGACCTGTAGTGTCAGCATCTTAGAAGCTACTTACTGACACCAATACTCATGCTGTAAGACAATTAATGATTGATAAGAAGCTGCTGGGTATTCTTCTAGTGAATGAACCAGCTATTGAGGACTAGAAGTTACAGCATCTAGATGGTGATATGGTGGAACTCAAGATTTGATCATCCAGAATTGTCTGTTGTTTGTGATACTGAGCTTTCTCTGATATGTGCAGATCAGCCTGGGCTATCTCAAGAGATAGTTGTGAAATTTAATGTACAGAATGACAAGAATGAGAAGAAACAGAGGAAAAACACCTCATTGTTGTGTTTATTCTGTCTTATTACTGTATTTCTGATTGAAAAGCTGAGGAAGAATTTTGTTGAAATGCATTTTGTTTATGTGATGATCTGAGGGAGAAGAATGCTACACCCTTCTCACACTTCTCATGATTTACAACCTGTGCTTTAACATGGCTAGTATGTATCCTGCTATCTTGGCTTCCCATGCCACCTCTCATTTGGTAGGGAGAAGATACAATCAAGATCAGCATTAATTAAAAAATTTTAGCAAATAGTCTCTGCACTCCAATGCATGTGGGGAAAGATGAAATATTTATAGTGCTGCTTTAAAAATGAAGATCAACAGAAATATTGAAATATCTTTACTGAATTCTTCATATAAGTCTTGAAGCCTCTTACTATAAATTTTGAACTATCTAGTATTCTTTTTTACATACTAAACTTTCTGTAAGGTATGTAGTTTCCAACATGATTTATTTGATTACTGGTATTGACTTAAAGAAAGATGGAGCAATCTGGTCAGATTGGAGTTGCCTCTGTTATGCCTTCAGAAGAAATAATTTCCATATTACTGCTGGATCTTCAGGTCCAGCAGTGCAGCAGAACAACATTCAATCTTGAACAACTTTCAAGAGCTCTTAAACATTCAAAAAGCCTACCTTCATCAAGCAGGAACCAGATTCTCCATGAACAAGAACAACTCTATGTGAAAGCAAATTTTTGTGAAGCAATTCAACACATTTACTATAGACTCTTGGATGGATACAAGAAGATAACCTACATTCTACAGAAATGCAAATACCAGAGACAACCTAAGCAGGCTATTTTTGCAAGAGAAATTCTTGAAAATCTTCTGTCTGATTCCACTCAACAAATTGAAATGCTAAAGCATGATACACTTGCTTTCCTCAGAGTGTCAGCCACAAATGATACAGTGGACAGTGACCAAATTTAGAGGTTTGAAAAAGCTCTTCTTTACTTCAGTGGTCTATTCTCTGCAGCAACCTCAAAGATGTCTGGTTATTTCTGCTTTAATGGGCTTTTCAGGCTGTCCATAATCTCTATAGTTTCTTTTTACAATAGAGTATAAATGGTTATCAATAGAATTACATCATGCTCATATTTACTTTGAGAAATCAGCCAAAGGTAGAAATGTACAAATAAAGAAGTAGAAATACAGAAATATCTTTTTATAATCTTAATCTTGATTTGGAAGCTTATTTAATTTGAAGTTTATTTAATTATTTATAGATTCCTGTGAAAAATGCCAGTATTTAATTTTCATTCATATAGAAGTGTTGCACCATGTTCCTCTCAAATTAACTGGATGCTCTGGATTGACTACTATCTTGATGTTCATGATAATCTGTGCAGCATAGCAACTGAAAAAACAAACTTGCTGTTTAATGTAACCCTCAAAATTATTACATGACACTACTGGTATTGTTTTTGAATAATACAGTAGCAAGTCACCATCTACTGGGGTTGAGGCACCAGATTGAGCTAGCAGCACTGCAATAGCTGGAGACCCAGGCAGCACTGCAACCACCATTCATTTTCTTACTACCTGTCTATAGTGGGCATTAATGGACTAGACACTGCAGAAAATGGGAGTGTGGATAAATTCATGCTGAGATTCAAAGAGAAGATGAAGCTTGAAGGTATCTGGAATATTAAGAGAGTGGATAAGAACTGGAAATAAGATAATAATTGAAACTCACAATCATTCTCTCAGCAGTTTACTAACTTAAAGTGAAAGGAACAACCAAATCTTGAGAAAGGCAAACTCACAAAATCCAGAGCTAAGATATCATTTCTGAATCAGCTTATATTCAAACATCTGACTCTGATGCTCTGCAGTATGACTGTGAGTGTTGCTGGATGGCACTGTGGAGATTTAATGAGGCCTGTAAGCCTGACTCCACAATTTGCCAGCAGGAGCAGAATCAGCTCTTTCTACACATTCTGATGCCATGACCAAATGCTGGCCCTCTTTCCCTGTCACCTGGAGTTATTCATTGAATCGCCCTTCAAATGCCTTTATGGGTAAAATCTTCAAATTGGGGAGGATGTCCTGATAAGTGAGAATTGCCAGTTTCTTGACAACTTTCCTATCAGGATTGGTGCATGTACTTGGATTGGAGCAGGTGTCCAGATACTGACAGCCAGTATTCCCTTTCATGTTCCAACACAAGACTCCATTGTCATAGAGCAGGAGTGTTGGGTAGGCCCTGAATGTATCATATACCTGGGAGTTAGCCTTCATAAAGGAGCTTATGTTGCATCTGGTCAGGTTGTCAAACAGGATATACAACTATATGGCTTTCAATGTTGACCATAAATTTTGAATGCATTTTTAGCTCTACTGGTTTCCTGGATTTTTCCATCACTTGAAGAATAATATATAACTGAAGTTTGCTCTCAAAACTCTGAAATATGTTTTGGCCAATCTTTCTAATTGTCTCTTTTGCTTAAGTCAACTCCAGTTTATCTCTGATTATTCTTCTGTTTGCTTTCTGTAATATTCTTCCAGAGGTTAAATTTCTTTTAAGCAATTATTATTGGACATAAAGATGTAATTTAGTCTGATTTGATACCATCACTATCTTATTTTTCTCTATTTGAGGTTGTTTGTAAGACAGATTCTGAATTTTTGAAGCTGCTGTTGCATGCCAGGACAGCATAAAAAGTCTTTCAAATTCTCTGGTGTAATTGTTCAAATGCCTGTTTGAAGTGGCTGCTGAGATGTGTGGTGAAAAGCATATCAAGATGAGGGGTTGCTATCTTTGGTTTATTCAGGATTTTTCAATAGGAATTGCAGGTTTGATTTGGTGGAATCTGAATTCTGAGCATACCATCTTTAGCTTCAGCTTAGTATAGAATGTTCAGTTTTGAGGCCTACTGATATGTTTAGAGACCATCTTACAACATCATAATTGATGGGATGATAGAGGAAAAAGATCAATAAGGGCACTCTATATCTAGGTTAGCAAAGTCAGTGTTAAAGAGGTACAGGCAGCTAAAGCTTCAGCACTTGATCCTCAATTTAGCATTTCATCAGATCTGAAGATTTATCAGCCTGATACAAAGAAATTTGCCTACTAGTATTTATACCCACACTTTTGCCAGTTTTCAGATACTAGCTATATTAGCAATATTGAACTCTTATAATACTAAACATGCAGACAGTTACACTTTTTCTGGCTTCTGCTTTTTCCCTTGCAAGCCAATCAGATGAAAGCATGTCACCAGGCTTCTCTCAAGCAATATTAGGGCACCCTTCTGGCTCTATAGCAGGCATGAAGGCACTTTGCACACATCCATTCTCACTACATATGTCTTCAGATGCAACTTATGTCACTGTAGTAGAAAGCAACAGGACATCAATATTTCTGCCAACAGCCACAGGCACAATTCAACTGATCATCTCTGCTTCACTCCAGCTATCTTCTGGTCTCTCAACAATACTATTGGGGGTATTCTATACAGGAATACCCAGGCCATCTCAAAGAACTTTACAAAGCTCTGGCAGCAGCCATATAATCTGTATCTCTATTTCTCCAACAGCAACACTCTTTGTCCCCATTGAAAATAGTGCTGGATGCCTGTCATTGGTTGCTTTTCCTGCTGTATATGCTTGCTTATTAGTTGCTTTTTGGATTATGGTGTGTTAAATCTAGCTTAGTATGAGCTGATCTTGATCTTTCTCCAACTCTTCTCTTAGCCTTAAAGTAGCTGTTTCACCAATGAAACATGATGTCACTAGCACATGTTAAGGGCTTCAAGATAAGCAATTTTAACTGCAGTGCAGTAGGCAGCAGTTCTGTGAACCTTAATAATCTTATTTAAATGACCAGCTTTCCACTAGACACTTACATACATTTCAGATTGTTCATACATTTCCAATTGCATATAAAGAAGCAATAGCTGACCAATATAAACATCATCTGAATAAAAATCACACATCTAACCACCAGTAGAAAAATGTGTCAAGTCTTGTCACCTGCCTTCTCTCTGTTATTCTGAGTAGAAAATGAACACTGCTAGTAGATTCTAATTTCAGCTTCCAGCATCACAATTGTTGTATTTGCCACATTTTGTGATTCAACAGCATCAGATAACTTGCTTACAAGCTCTTCTCTAAGCATAAGTAACTTGATGTGCATCTTTCAGAGCTGTTCATGCTTCTCTACAAGATGTCTATACTGCTCTGCCAGCTGTCTGTATTGCTCTACCAGCTGCTTGCACTCAGTCTCTGTCTGATTATAACATTCCAGAGATTCATTTTGGGTAAGTCATGCTCTTTGATTTGCTTCACCTGCTTTGGCTAGCATTCTCTGCAGGTCAGCAATATAGTGAGCATCTTGAGACTCTTGTGTAAATACCCTTCAGAGGAAGTGAGTGTTGAGTATAATCTACCACATGCCAGTCTATAATTCAGTTAAAAAGTCTTATTTATTTGACATTCCAGTAGTTCCTACCTGCTGGTGTAGAGAAATGGTTTGGTTGGTATTTATATCTCAAAGAGTGCTTATTCTGGCAGCTGAACTGGAATAAATTTGAGACTGCTAATTATATACAGCACTGAGTGCCAAATAAACACACTCCAACATTTCCATCAAGTACTTATCTCTTCTCTCACATTTATTTACTCAGTTCTCTTGTCAACATTTATCTGTTTGTATTTCCATTTAATTGGTGCAATGATTGAGGTTAGAGCTGGGCATTGAGATATTCACACCACTGACAGTAGATTGTTTCTATTTGAGAGTCTGCAAGAAAAGCTCACATGAAGAACTTTATTTAGTACTTACATTAGGTGGCTTGGAGCTCAATGCTCAGTCTTGCAGCCTGATATATCACCTCTGCACCATCTGATGTGCTTCCACTGTAATTTGATAGCTTTTTCTGTCTGTTGTTGATTGGCATCAACAGCTTTATTGAACAAGTTCACTATTGCTAGCCAGCTGTGTCCCTGGTTTCTCAACTCAACAATATAGTTTTTCTTCCAGGTGTAATATGGTTTGCTATGACCCAACACCATTGTTGAAACTTGATTGGGCTGATGATGTTGCAGGAAGTGTATTACTAACTCTTTCTCTTGAAGTAAAGCATCAAGTCAAACTCTTGCCATGAGCAAGTTCTTTATATTTCTAATGAACTTATTTTTATCATTCTAGAAAGTACACAAATTGTAAGAGTATTATATCATGAATTTTGAAGAGAAATCTGCTGGTAGCTAATACCATTTGAATGTAATGATGATGGGCTGCTGAGGGTCATATTCCTGGGCGGGTGGATGGTGTTTCTTCATTACTGACTTGAGGTCTTCCCTCTCAGAAACCTGGGTTTGAGTTAGACAAAAACTTCTTTCTTGGGCCACAGTAATTCCATAAGGCTCATTGTCAACACTCACTACAGTTGACTGCAGGAAATATACCTTCTTGTCCTCCTCTGCTTGGCCTTGTGGTTCCTCTGTCAAAGTATTCTCAGCCAACTGGCTCTCAGATACAGAGCACCTCAAATTTGGCAAATTGCATATGACTGCCATATACCAATGAGCATCTTCATTAATCAGAAATTGTTTTTGTTGGGCAGTGGTGACTCTTCAAGCTGCAGTTCATTGTTGTTAGGGTCATTGTCAGTAGTATAGACTTGGATTAGTGCTTCTCTTTCCCATCTCTCTGTATGATTCTCTTTGGATGTACAGCAGTCTATCCATTTGACTGGCAAATCTATGTTTGCATTCTGCTCCTTCAGGGTCCGCAGGTAGGCTTTTGCCTTAGTTATTCTCTCACCAGTAGTAATGGGTGCCCAGATGGCTATATTCCAGTTCTCAAATCACTCTTGATTAAGAAAATCAATCTCTGAGTTCAGCTGCCCTTCTTACCAGACAATGATGTCCCTCTTGTGTTGCTTGTTATTCCTTTCGCGAATTTGCTTGACGCACTTCTTGATTTGCTGAGCCAGGGTGTTGTGTGCTTCCTCTGTAGAGTAGTATCTGTGGTCAAAATGGACCAATTTATCAGGTATCTGTCTTCCAAATGAGCCACATAAGGTGTAGAATGGATATCTTGCTATTAGTGACATATGGAGTATACATGGTACCAATTATTATCACAAGCAAAATGTATGTGTGGAAATGAGATTAAATGATGGTTGAGTAATTCAAGCTCTACACAGAGATCATTAAGTTCCATGAATCAGAAGGATACAGATTGCAGACATATCACCAATACATATCCAGTTTGCTGCGGACTTTGAAATGGGATACAAAACAAGAGTCAATTTCTTGGAGTAAATGCTCTCTGTCACCAATGGTGATGAAAATTTAACCCAGAAACAAAGCCCAAATTCCAAAAGCAACCTGCCTGCCAGCCACCAAAGGATCTGAGGTCACTTGCCAGTTTGGAGTACATTTACATCTTAGTCCAAGAATGTAGATATCAGAAAGGCTGGTATCAGTCTAGGGCTCAAAACAGGTTGAACTCTCAATGCACTTTCCCACTCATGGCATGGAAGGATGGCTAGTCTCTCCAGCTTCATGTTGTCTGTCACTTCATTTAAATGAAGGAGAATCATGTAAGTGCCATGAATAGTACCCAGCTTAGAGATATCTGATGTGCTGCCTGGTGCCTTTGACATGCAGTCTACAAAACTCTGCTAGACAACCCAAAAAAGACATCAAGTCTGTGTTCTAGCAATGCAATCAATATGTTGACTATGGGAATTCTCTGTCTACATGGCATGTTTCAGCCCCTCTTTGATTTCCAACTTGACCTCAGGAGATATTGGTTCATCTCCTCTTGATGATCCATTCATAATGGACCTTGCAAGCAGAAAGACTTTGAATGTGAAAGTGTTCCAAAATATCACACCAGTCTTTGTCAGGATATGCCTCTCTCAGTTCAAGGAGCTTTTTGTTTTCTTCAGCTGTCCAACTTTTTCCTTTCCAGACAACAGATTTTGATTTGTGCAGCTTGCCATACTGGTTCTTGCAAGCACCAGGGGTTCAATTGTGAACATGTTTTGAAATCTCATTCCAGCTTTTGTCAGGATATGCCTGTCTCACTTCAAGGAGTGCTTTGTTCTCTTCATCCACCCAATATTTAAATACCCTGGTGATGGGCTCATGCTGATTTCCATTCATTCTTTTTGGTTCACTGAGTACCTGATTCTCTTCCACCATGCAACAAGTTGGGATTCTGTCCCTGACCCAAAATGTTTCTTGTTGCATCTGATCAACCCCAACTTGGCTCTCTGTTGCTGTGGGATGTGGTAAAACCTCAAGAATGTTGTCAAGTGTTTCAATGGTTGATGGTGTTGGTGGTGCCAGCAGCACTGTTGGCAAACACATAGAAAGGTAAGTAGGCCATTCATTGGGATCTTGCATCTCCATCATGATTTCCAGTTCTTCTATAACTTGTTAGGACAGCTTGGTTTACTAGGAAGTCATACAGTACCAGTTGCAGACTTGATAGTGGCCAACATGCAGTTGAGATTTTCAAAACACTGGTAGAAATTCAATTCATCTCCTGCCTTCACAATGTGGTGGCAGTAACTCCTGCTTTCCCTAATTCTTTATTTCTTTTACATCAGAGCATGAATGCTAGAAGTATTATATCTCCAGGCACACAACAAGATCTCTTGGAGGGATCAGACATGTATCTCAGCCAATAAGAACTATGGGCACTCCATGCCACTGACCTGAGCTGTTTTATTTCCTGCTCAGTTTCACCTGATTCTTTGTGCAAGTCTACTGACAGGTAAGCAAAGACATGATGTTTGACATGGCTTTCAGGAATGGAAATTTACATGAGTGGACAACAGAGGGTCTGCCCTGATCAGCAATTTTCTGGCAGCAAGATTTGACTCAGTTGGCAGGCTGGGTTCAAACTCATGTGGGTGGATTAGGGCTAGCAGTTAAAAAAACAAAGACAGAAAGAAAGGAAGGAGGGGAGATTAAGATGCCTTCTATATGCACAAGAGAGCATTTCTGCATCAACAACAGAGTTCTGCTGTTTATGTCTGGTTCATTGACCCATTCTTCAGAATGCAAGATGCTGAGTATCATTTAGTACTGTAATATTTCTGAACACTGCAGGTGGTCCAGACCATCTATTGTCTATTCAAACTCACTAAGCACACTTGCTATCAGACCATAAATACATTATTATCACATTGATCTCCAAAATGTGTGATTACAAAAAGCTGAAATACTCCTGTGGGCATGAAAGGTGCCTTGTGGTGGCATGACATATTGAATACCAAAGAACACAAGTGAAATGTGATTCTAATGTTATAGAAGTGAGTTTTATTTGCCAGTCTTGAATCAGCTGTGATCTTGGACCTGTAGTTAATGTGGAGCAGGAAGGGGGCCACAGATAAGAAGTGTGGTAAGTATATTCAAGAAGAAATTTACCATACACTAACAGCTGTGAACTCAAGGAGATTGCAATTGGAGTCATGAAGAGGGCATTTCATGCGCCAACATATATTGCAGTATACACCAGAGTCGCGTTGGTAGCTAGGATGGGGAAATGTGTACACTAGACTAAATACAAGGTTTCTGCCAGTGATTGGGTTTGGTTATCAAAGGTGAAGAAAGGCAAGATAATTTAGTACACATTATATTCTCCACCTAAACACCATTCTTTGCTCTTGCTCTTTCCTGAGGCACTGAATAGATCCCTTGTGTATCCTATCTTGCCTCCATGATTCACAGCGCTAGTCAGATGCTGATTGTGCAAGGTAAAACAAATCATCATCAGACACAGCAAGGTTTATACTGCTTCTCTCCACCAGAGCCACCAAGACTCAGTATGTTATTGACGGCAGTGTCTTGAGTTGGAAGTCTGACCAAAATGATATTCCAGGAGTGACTGCACCTTGAAAACATAGGAGCTTGCTAGGGCTAACTGGTCAAACATCTTAGTAAAGTCATACATAGAGTTTTTGTGCATCTTCATGTTGATGGTGTAACAACAATTGATGTGTTCTAAAGCAACATTGATAGCCTTGAACTCATTTGGCCTTCCACTCAAATTAACCAGACTTGACACCAATATGGCACGCTGCAGCTCCTCTGTTGAGAGCTGTGGGGTAAGTAGCCATTGCAGGTGAAGCATCTCCATGCCATAATTGGATTGTTCCGCCCCATAGAATCACGCGCATAATGAGTTGACCAAACACCAGATTAAACCAACATCACCATATCAGATGGTATACCATAGTGTCATGAAGACTTCTATCTGTTGTATCTAATGACACATACTCATAAACTTATTGTCATGACATCTGACACCATCTCAAGCATTGCGTGAGAATACCTGACAGTATATATCACCTACACAAGACAAGAATTGAGTTGGCATCATCCACAATATAGTGTCTTCCAGTTGTGATAGACTCTCTTTACTCCTTGCAGCCAAGAATAAACCAGTCACAGAAGAAGGCAGCCAGGTCTCTGCCACTCTGAAAAATGGCAATCTTCAAGGCTCATCTCTCTCAGGTCTCCTCAACACCATTGATGGTGTATCTTTGCAGGAAGGTTGAGTGCTGATCATGACATTGAACTACATCAAGCACTTGGACAAGGCACTCATCTGCTCTGGTTGTGTTGACTGGAGGGTCTACTTTCAGCTGGTCAATAGAGAGATGAGCTTCTGACTCTTCTGCACATTCAGGTGAAGATTACTGCATCTAGAGTAAGCTGTCTGATGATGAGGCAGTCAAACAACTCACAACAGAATTTTTGTTGAAGATTCTGGAGGATGAATTCAGCCTGGCAGAAATCCTTTTCTTTCTCTTGGAATGTAAGCATTCACTCAAGGATGCCATATCCAATATAGAGAGGTGGGTTACTAAAGTGTGAACAATGGGGAACACTGAATAAATATCAACAACTCCATGCTGAATTTTCAGAGAAATCAGTCTTGCCAGTTTCTTCAACTGTACCTTCTTGTGAATGTTGCATGTCCCTTCAATAGTACCCTTATTGTAGAATATAGCACTGAACATTGCAGAGGGTTGCAGGCAATCAACAACTGGCATGGATGGCATAGAGTTGCTTCTGTGAAACACAGACTTGACAGCAGACAGATGGACAGTGGCAATCATGTGTGTGATGAAATAAGACAATATTTGTACTGAAGTCTCATCTCTTGTTATACCAACAGACTTGATGATGTCTTCAAGACACACTAGCTTGCTGACATTCAACATAGACTGCAAGAGACCACCCTCAGGAAGAAATGGTGGCACCACTATGATAGCAGACATCAGGTTGTGCATGACAAAACAGGAAAAGCCCATTGCTTGGTCTCGCACAGAATTCTTAAAGTTGAAATTGTCATACACCACTACAGCATGTGGATCTTTGGCTATCTCTGGCAGTTGGTCCTATACACCCATTAGTTTTACTTCTCTTCAAGCAAAACAGAACAAAAAACAATTACCTTCCTTCACATGGTACTCAGCCACTATGATTTACTTAGTGCCACATACAATGGTGGAAGGTATCAACTGGTATTCACCTTTGATCATCAGGCCAAAAGAGTGGCATACAAGATTGATGAACTTGGGCAGTGATTTGTAACCATAGAGATAAACACAGATGAGGACCAAGATGTCAATGTACTTGCATTGTCCTTTAAGGACTGAGTAAATGTTTCAAATGAGGGAAGCACAATTACATCACTAGACAACAGCACAGAGAAAGTTGAATTCTCCCATATATCAGAAAATTGGGAAGTTATCACTTGGACCAAGAAGAGATTGAAAAGAGCTATCAAAAGCTGCCTCTTTGGTGACACAGCTACTGTCAAAACATTTCTTGTAGATTCTTCTGATGTGCATACCCTATCCAGGTTGAAGATGAAGGTGCAAAGACCACCCTTATCATGATCTTTGAGAACCAGGAAATTAACTAGCTACTTTCTCCCTCCTTCTCAGAAAGAAGAACCAACCCAGACAAAGTAAAAAAGGGAAAAAAAGGAAAATTCTACTCCAAGAGTCCTCATCCTCCCTGCTTGATTTATTTGGAATAGGGGTTGAGTTGATATCTGGTGAGCGGGTGATCCTTGCCACAGGTCTTGGTTATCACAGGGCAGGATGAAGTCAGAAAGAAGTAGTAGCAGCTGCAAAGACACAGAGGAGAAGAATGCTACATATTGAGCTCTAATCTAGGGCATTATCTGATGGTTTCTTGTACTCTGTCCTGCTAATCATAAGAGACCTTGTAGTTCACACAACTGATAGTAAGAGCCCTTGTGATTCAGCAAATATGAATGTGTACTCTTCTCAACAATTCTCCCATCCTCCATCACAAGAATCTGGTCTGCATCCATGATGGTGGAAAGGTGATGCCTATGATGGAAACTATTAGTAGATGCAGTGATTGAGGCCCAGAGACACTTATGTGATAATAATTGTAGTCTGGCCAGCACAAAGTTTTTTCAATTCTTGTTGGACACATGCTTCTGTCTTGCTGTCTAGACTGCTGGTAGCTTTGTCCAGGAGAACAATCTTTGGGTTTCTGAGAATTGCTTGTGCTATTGTGATGCATTTCAGTTCACCACCAGACAGCCCTACACCACCATCTCCAACTACAGTGTCATAACCACATGAGAGACTCATGATTTTGTCATGAATGGCAGCAGCTTTGCACGTGTTCTTGACTTTCTTGTCACTGGCATCTTACCTTGTGTAGTGAACATTGTCCTTAATTGAGCACTGGAACAAGGTCATGTTTTGAGGAACAATTCCAAGGATTGCTCTCAGGCTGTCAAGTGTAACCTTGGATATGTCTTGTTTGTCTATGCTGATAACCCCAGCATTTGGGTCATACAACCAGTGGAGGAGACCTAGAATTGTTGATTTTCCTGCACCAGAGTCTCCAACAATGGCAGTCTTCTTGCCAGCCAGCACATGGAAACTGATATTTTTTAAGACCAGTTCCCTGTCATCATATGTGAATTTAACCCCTTGAAAGTCGATGTGACCTTGTCTAAGAACCAGATGTTGAGCACCTGATCAGTCAGTAATGCTTGATGTCTGATGCAAAACATCCATTAACTCTTCAGCTTCCACCATATCTTTTGTCAAATCCCCAAATCCATTCATGAGTACCTGTAGAGGGCTTGAGAGCTGAGCTCAGTAAGTGAGCAGCATTACAAAGCTTCCAACATGCTTCATACCAGAGCAAATCTTGTATGCAGCAATTGTCAAGGCAGCTCCCAGCCCCAGCTGGAGAGTTGTTGATTGCGCAGCAGTCCCCATATCATGCCAGAGCCTTGACACAGCCTTGGACTTCAGCTGGTCCTGAACAGCAGACTGGACTCAAGATTGTTCATATGGTACACAATTGAAGTACAACACTGTCCTTCATTGACTGAGAGATTCTTGGAAGATGGTTGTCTTGTGTATCCATTTATCTGTCCAGCACTTCCATCCATCTCATTGACAGTGGATCAGTTTGCTAGATGTCCACATTAACACTACAGCTATAGTGGCAACAATTAACAACATATAGGAACCAAAGATGTAATACAGTGTACCCATGGCTAAGGCCAGATCCACAATCATCAGGGCCACATAAAAACATATGTGCTTGGCCACACTTTGTGCTCCTTAACCATAAAAAATAATTTGTGCCAGAGCGGTTGAGTTCTTCTTGTCATGAAAATCACTCAACAGAGACATGATATGGTTGAATGCCACAATAGTTATTTGGAGATATGCATAATTGTCAAGAAGTATCTACAGGTGTGTTGTGAGCAATGCCAAACCACCACTTGAACCAAGCCACTGTAATAGTATAAATACTAATATTTGTTTCCACAGGACAGTTCCTTTGGATAATCAGCAACACTTACACATTCAAAGTGAAATGGGTGATGATGGCCTACTATTGGAGCCTGTTAGTGAATCTGTGACTAGACCAAACTAAAGAGATGGTGATGTTCACCACTCATTCAGCAACCAGGCACCCTGCAATGCCCAGGAGGAGCTGGTAACATTTTTTTCCTGATGGCCAAAAGAAACAAAACATCAACTGACACAGAGCAGTTAGTGACAGTCACTCTCTCAGGAAATAGGCACATGCCTTAAAGAAGTTCCAATGATTCTGAATATTATAAGCAGAGCTGCATACACCAGAGCTGCTCTGTATCTTGTAAAGGCCATTTAGCTCTTCCTGCAGTGCCAAGAGTGGTGCTCTCTCCAGATCAGAGTTCCCCTTAGCTGGTGAGGTATGTGAAGCATAAACAGCTGACATCACAAGCATTATAAGTAGTGCGAGTCTGAGGCCTTCAAAAGCAATCTTGCTAGACTGAGGTTGAATGCGCTGCAGAGCAGACACCACAATAAAAACAAATTCAGCAGTCAAATATATTGTCCAGGTACTGTAGAATGAATAGCTAATTGTCTTTGAATCAATACACAATAGCAAAGTCACCAGCCATGTAAAGCTTGAGGTCCATAGGTAAAGCTGTAGGAAATAAATTAAGTCAGCAGAAAAGAAATCTCAAAAGATCAAAGAGAAAGGGCATACAAGTCTGGCCTCTACTGCTGGAACATTGGATTCTGATTCAGCAGAGCTGATGAGAATAAGCGCATCCACCACCTGAGGCCTGTAAGTGATGTGGTCATAAGCCAGAAGATGTTGAGTTTCTTATATAGCTCAACATCACAATTGCAACCAAGCAGCAGATTAGAACTCGCCAACACAGTACCAATGCTTCAGAAGTCGCGCTACCTTTAGAGGAAATCCTTCAGAAACAGGCAATGGAGAAAAGAAACAAGAACAAGAGGAGAGGTATGGAGGAATAGAGCAATTCTACAAGTATCACTCTACCCTGCATCTTGCTATCAATATAGGACAGTAGGAGATGGTATTCAGAAACCAAGAAGGAAAAATTTCAAGATACACCACTTTATATATTTTCTTCTTGGGGCAAAAGAGTCTGGGAGCCTGTAACTCCCAGGCCTGTTATGGCATCCCAAACAGCCATAAGAGGCCGGGTTGGTGCAGATGCATATGTGCGGGGATAGTGCCATTTATGTTTTCTGACTTCAAGTTTTCTTGTACCATAGCTTGCCCTGTATGCAATCAGGGTGATCTTTGAAAATCCCCTTATAGCTTAAAATAGGGACTGGTGTATGAAAGACCACCTTTCCACCTAGTGTACTGCAGAGAATTCACTTCTGGTGTCACACAAGTATTTTCTCTGTCAGTACTACATCAGACCATTGTTAATCCGCATCAAGGCCTGGTGACAAGTTATTCAATATAGAAAGAAATGCTTTGAGGTACTTGAATCTAATTAGCAGCTTTCTTGCCATTCTGAGTCCTGTAAGGGTCATCCTGCCAAGCCATTAAAGGAATCACCATGGTCACATGATTACAGCCATACCATGAAATCTTTGGGGGATGGAAGTGCTGACCCACTGAGAGCAGCCTCATACAAATTGTAATATGATGAATGAGAGGACACTTTTCCAGTATCTTGCAGGGGAGAAGTGTAATCTTGTAACCCATAACCAGGACCAGATGTTGGCACTAAGACCAGTGAAAGCATTGCAAGATCAGAATGTGGGTACCCAGGTGCTGATGCTGGTCAATCTTGTGTTTGATGCTGTGGGGAAGAACACAAAAAAACATAAGACTGCTGATACATGCCATAGGGACAAGGGGAGCATATGTACCACCATGTGCAGCAGTTAGTGTTGATGTTGAAGGGCTGGTGGCTGCCCACATGCCCCATATTGCATCACTCCTTCACCAGTCAGCACCCAGATGGTTTCAAGAGCTGAAAGAGGCTCTGAGTGTATCATGTGACCAAAGAGATATCATGTTAGACAAGGATCTGCCATCTCCTCAAACAACAGTGAGATGCAGAAGCTTGGATGTGAAAAAAGCAGCAATAAAAGAAAACACTGAAGCTTTCAAAAAGCTCACTGGCATTCCAATCCTGATATTCAAACAGATAGCTAGAGGCAAATCTCTCTGGCATTAAGCTCTTTCAGAAGCTCCTGCAATTAATGATGTACATTAAAAAAAAAGCATGACATACAGAGATCATGCACCCAAAAAGCAAGCTATTACAAAACCAATCCGGAAATCTTCATGGGAAGCGCCAGACTAACACAAAAGAAAAAAGAAGGGCAGAGAAGAAATGAGAAGAGGATTGGAGTAGTGGTAAAGTGTGGGTCTTTCAATTTAAACTCACAGTCCACCTCAGAAGACCCACTTGAAAGTGGGGCTAGCAAGGCATCCTCTTCACGCTGAAAAACATTAGAAAGAGTCTTAAGAAAAACAGTCAATGAATGGAGTCCTACAAAAGCAGGCAATTAGGAAGGAAGCATCAATAAAAATGGAAAGGCTTCAGGGGAGAACAAGGCCAGAAGGAGGGTAAACATATGTGTTAGTGCCTTTTACTTGATAAGTGGTAGGCAAATGAATATAAGAAATTCTGCTGCTGGTGCTGGATGACAGGGTGGCCATTGCTTGATAGGGCATACTGTCTCAAAACAGTTGAAGAAAAGGTGCTGTAGTCAAGATTGTGAAATCAATTATTGCACAAAGTGTGGTGGTTGAATTTCTGGAGGGCTTTTCCCCAGACAGTTGCTTCATCATCAGTGAAGCTGAATCAAGACAACCCTATTGGTGAAGGTGGAGGTGTTGGTGAAGGTGTTGACAGAGGCTTCACACAGGAATTCAGTCTCTGAACATAATCCCCAGGACCATGACCACCTATAGGCAATGCATAATAGCAAGACCCCCTGTTGAAATCAAAACTGTTGGCTTTAGATTGGGCAGTATCAGGTTGACCTGGTATAGATGGAGGAGCTCTCTTGAAGTTTGCTGTGTTATAGGTTAAAGTTTTAGAGAGTCTGGCCAGATGAAAGACTTGCCACTGTAAGTGAACTGCATTCACAAGAAATTATTTAGCCAGATTCTCAAAGACAACACATAAAGTAAGCTCACTTTTTCTTGTCATCTTTCTGTTTGGCACTGCCTAAGGACCCTCCATGTTTTCTAACAGCCTCATTGGTGTCTGGTGACTGCATCACAATATTGCATGTGTAGCCCTGATGCTCGGCTGGTTGGTCTGATAGCTTGAAATCCAGCCCCCCAATGGTCTGAAGATAAGCCTCATGCTGTTGACAATGACCAAATACAAAACACATGCCCCAGGACTCAGGCCAATCTCTGACAGTGCACCAGAAGAGAGCCATAAGGCAGCAATGTCTCAATAAGGCTGACACAAGCATTGAGTCAAGAGAAATTAGTAGGCAGTGAGATAAAGCAACAGCAACACAAGAATCCAGAACATGACTGATATCTTCAGCAAGAGACACTTTAGCCTCTCTATATACCTGCCAATTGCATCCCCAGCCCATTTATGTTTCATCTGGTTGAACATTTCAGGGCAATCCGCAAGCCACTGCAGAATTCTGAGATTGGTGCGCTCATAATCCTGGGAATGTGCTGAATGCCACTGGTAAGAATCTACAAGAAAAGTGTGCATCAACTTGTAGAAAAAATGTCAAGAGAGCATTGTGCTGACATCTCCACTCTGGCCCGGCCAAGGGTTAGCTGGGATTGAGGCCCCACATATAAGGTGTTCAAACACTGTATGTGTGGGGCCTCAAATCACACCAAAGCCCTCAAGAACATGCCAGATCTCTTCAATCTGCAAAACCTGATGAAAATGCCTATTATACCAGAGGAGCTCCCTATTGATGTACTTTTCAATACAGCCTGTGCATTGCTGATTGCGATTTCACTTCTGCATAATCAATAATTAAGTTGGGTCTTAGTTATTGCAGAAACCATCCATACTCTGACTCTCATCACCTATATTGTCTTGAAATTTGTTGGCAATGGTGAGTGGTCAATGTACTTGAGCTTTCAATAAGGCTAACTTCCCAGATCACTCATTTTGCTTACTGCTGCTGGGCTTGTCAAGCATCTTCCATCCACAATATGAGGTATGACACATCTTGTTTCCTTTAATACCAAGTTAACTCTTAATCCACAGATATATTGAATGGAGTGTATTGTCAATGGCCTCTTCCAGACCCAGCTTTATTCTTTTCTCAAGTAGTGCATTTGGCTTTCAAACCTACTGAAGGCCTGCTGTGCCACTATGCCTTTTTACTACATGGAAATCTTTTCATCCATATCAGTTATACCAATGGCCATGGGATTCTGTGCTTGGCAGCACTTATTTGTGGCTCTTCCACACTCTCAACAGCAGCAGTCCATCAGCTCAAGAGATACAATTGTGAGATATAGATTATTTGGATGTAGAGAGCTGTCCACATGTATACTAGAGTGTTCATTTCTGGTTCTACTACAGGATCTATACCCATACATTGATAGCTTATGATTGGCACACTTATGATTTCTCTTCTTTCCTGAATTAGCTTTATGACTTCCTTTGCATCTTTCTTTCTAATTGTTTATAATCAATGATAGTATTAAAGAGAGATATAAAGATCAAAAGAATCTCACTTTTACTGAAGCATTTTCAAAAAATCAAGCTCTCATGCTCTTGACTCTCTTGTTTTTCATTTTATTATTTTTGTTACAAGAGTCCACAGTCATGACTGATCTCTCTCTTTCCTTCAATAAGATGTGTGGTTGCCTGAAGAATTCCAACCAGGCCAACAAGAATATCCAGCTGCTTAGCCAGTCAGTAGCCCCTGGAAATGCTCAAGGCAATGATCTCATATATCTCTTTGGTTTCTATGACTCTAACACAGACCAGATACAAAGCCAGCTACTGCAGAGGCAAACAATGTTAGCAGATCAACTCAAGAAGATAAGGTGATGGTAGCATACACCAGATATCTTTATGACCAAGAAACAGACCATTACAGTAAAATGCAAGGCAAACTTCTACCTTAGATGGCACTGTAGCATGTTAGTTATCAAAGATAGGATATATTTGCCTATGGAATTACTTCACTCCATTAACTTAATTTCTGCTATCTTCTATGCTTTGAGAATGCAGTATTGAAGTTGGTCAAGAAAGAAAAATGTAGCATCATTATTCCTTGGTAAGTTCTCTATATACTGCAAATTTTTGTTACAACAAACAGCTCTTGCACTAACATCACCTGACTAGTGGCTTCTCAAACCTGATCCCACCTAAGTCAACTCTTGCCTTGTGAGTAATATAATTGCCCTTTATTATAGGGCACTCTGACTTGTGATTACAACAGTGATATCCACCTCAAGAAGATTAATAAAGTGGGTTTTTAGACTCTTGATATTTTGGTTTTTCTGGCTAGCAGTTTCATAATCATGTCTTTTAGATTAATGCAAAAATATCACAGTCCTCTGTCAAATATATACATTAGTTGCCAACAGTCATGGTGCTGTATTTTTAAATCTTGACAAAATTATTCTACACTCATGAGCTCATGAATTTTGAAGCTAACTCTGTTTGAGTAGCTTTTCATATTTTTGTTCTTTCATAGTTACCTGTTGTCAGCACCAATCCACTCATTAATGCTTGTCAAGATTAAAAAGAAACCAGCATTGATTGGATAACATGATGCATCTGCCTGAGAATGCACAGAGGTTTTCTGGACTTGGAAGGCTTGCATTCTGGATGAGCACTAAAATCTCAGCTATCTGAGCTTGACAGAATATTACAGACAGCTTGGCTTTGTGAAAGAAGTTAGAAGTGGTGGTAATGCAAGATGAATTATCTCTTATATTCTTGTCTTGTTAACAGGCTAACCAGAGCTACTACAGCCTGAGCAGCTTCAGAAATAGGGTACTGTATATCAGCAGATATAGATTCCAGTATTCAGATGAAACATGTCTGTAATGTCTTTGACAGAATGATACACAGACAATTATCTTTTTTCAGACTCTGTAAATGCCTGGAGATCAGATATCATATACTAAATTTTTGTCAGCACTCATCAGATACAGAGTTAGAAAAGAGTTCTTTAAGAAGTGGCTCTCTTGCTGTATATATATATAGGGAAATTTCTGTCTCAAGTTTGTGAAATTGTTCACTTCTTATCCTTTGACTCTATTAATCTTTGTTCAAGATACACACATATCCAGACATATCTTTAATTTAACCAGTAATAGTGACTGTAATGCAAAACATGGGAGAACTTGAAGCAAGAGTATGTTTTAATGACACAGAATTAGTTCTGGTATGCAATGTTACTTTTACTACTATTGTTTTCTACTTACTGTATAGATAGACTGTCTAACAGATATTGCTGTATTTATACCTGATTCTCCTCAGCTCTGATGAACCTGTTATCTACAGGCTTTGAAAAAAGGAGATAGATGTAATTTCCTGGCAAGAAAGCAAATAGAAGGAGAGATACAGCTAACTGCATGATTTATCAGATGACAACTACAAGAATCTTGCCTGTACCTTGAGAAATTTTGAACCATTTTCAGTTATTGAATTGACAGGCAAGAAGATAAAAAATCAGACTATAGCTTTAATGACTGCAGTTAGAGTAATGGCCAGTGAGAACACAAGTAGAATGGTGCCCACTTCATTAAAGAGTGATGAATTTGATGTTGCTGCAAACATCATGATTCTCTGTATGTATGTCAGAATCTTTGCCATCACTTCATTACTAGAGAACAATATCTACAACCAAACAGATTTCAAAACCCATGCTGCTGAGCTCAGTCAATCACCTCTGTATAGAGCTAAGAAGGTAACTGCAAAGAGCATAGTGATTAAGCTTTACCATATTATTCTCTTTTTGCAGTCATAGAGTCCATCCACCAAGACAAGAGCTTCTCAAAATCAATGCCTTAACAATAACTATACTCTTATATCACAGAAGTTTCTGAAGAGCAATAATAATGACATGATGGGTTTGGTTGTATACAGATAGTCATATTCCAGTGCCTTTATTACTGTTAGTCTGTCACTACTTTCTCAAATCCAAAATGTGGCCATCTTCATCTTGTGTTCTTATTCAAAGTCTACAGTCTTGCCAGCCTCTGAGCTTCTGATTTGACTTAAACAGAATGACATGGATATCAGAGAACTCCAACAAATTTTGACCTGGATGGTGATAGACTTCCATCACCCATGGGACATGTTGAAGGAGGTGAGCCAAGATGAGTTGCTCTTCAATACATGGGCTCTCTGGTATAAAGAATCTCATGGTGTACAACACTAGAGCAGTATAGCTATTGAAGCTTCATTTCCTTAATTCAACATAATACAAATATGTTCAGAAACAGACATGTTTGTGCAAATGAACAGATGCTGTTTTGTAGCATATGAATCTTCTGGAGTTGTAAATACATCATGTTTGCTATACAGCTGATGCATTAAAAGAACAAGTGTCATTCTCTGCTAGTTAAGAATTGGAATGTGTGAAGAAAGAAAACTTGAGAATCTTATTGTTTTTTTTAGCTTACTATTGTTTTTGTGCTTTCATGTTGCCTTACCCTATGGGAAACATGAAATTATATGGATGTTGAGAAACAAGATTAATCTCTCTCTTAAATATTATCATGCAGCTAGTTCTTCATCACACAGGTGTGAGGGAGGAATTACTTAATTCTGAGATGATATAAAGTAATTTTCTCACTCTGCCTTCACTATTGTGCTTCAAAAGGCTCATGACCTTAACCAGCTAATATTTTACAGAATTACTTTCTTGAATACAGCAGATATTTGGCAAATTAGTGATTGTGTGATATTCAGATCAACTATAGTTTAACATGTAGGGCCAAGATGGAACACTCTGTCAAGACTATATAAGAGTAATTATCTTGACATTCTGAATATTGCAAATGCTTCTCTAGTCAAAATACATATGGTCTCTCTGTTCATATTTGAAAAGGCAATTCCAGTTACTTAAATAATAATAGAATCACTATCAGAAATTTCTATTGCACAAAAAAACTGTTTCCAGAACACAAGAGTATCCAGTAGTGAATGACCTCAGATTGACTTTATGTTCTTGAACCAGCTCTTGAAAAATAGTTTGCAGTTTCTTGCAGATAAATTTTCTTCAGAGCTTCTTGCAGTCTAGAATCTCTCTAGTGACTGCTTGATTTTAAATTTATTGGAGTGGCCTGGGTAGCATCTTTAGAGATATCTTTTGAAACTGGAGTACAGTTTCTACCACATTCTTCTAGTTATCATCAATAGTGGAGAAGTCAACAGGAAAATAAGAAGCTTTGCTATAATATATTTGCTGTAATGTTTCCACTTTATGCAGCAGCCTCCATCTGAGATACATGAGTTTTTCTTGATTCTTGAAATTGCTTTCTAGAGAGCTTGTATTAAAGATTTTTGTCTGCCAAACAGCACTTAATCCAGTTCTTTTTCTTAAAGACTGTTAAATTCTCTATTTGCTCTCTATTAATTACTTCTGCTTTCTAGTTAGCAGTTCTCCATAAAATGCAGTGTTTAGCAGACCTGAGCAAGAATATTTCAGTAGCTGAAAGAAGAGCAGAGAAAGAGAAGACAGCTCTTATATCAATTCTCAGCTTTAATGTATTATCACATCTGTTGATCACTATTATTATGTCATTCAGATGCCTGGTGTGCCTCTTCTTTTCATTTAGAGGGCTGTAGAGGTGTTTCAGATGCATTATTTTATTATATTGGCACACTGAAAGTGCAAAGATTAATCAGCTGATCTTTCAAAATAATAAGTATTTTACAGCAGTGGCTAGCTTCTGTACATTAAACCAATGATAACTCTAATTCTTCAACAGACTGAGTTGATTGCTGCCCACATGCTCTGCACCCATAATAGAAACTTTTGTTTGAGAGTCAAAAGCCACTATAGAGATTACTTTACAAAAATACAGTGTAACAAGATACAAGACTCTGGCTCTTCTTCAAGTCAGAAGATTAATCAGACAGACTGATACTTCTCTTCTGCTTCATAATCTTTTATTATGTGGTTATACTACATTAACATCAAGCAGAGATATATCTGCACACTTTGCTTGCAAAATGATCATGTAAGGGCATTTGAGGGGGTCATCAGAAGTTTGTAATGAGAAAGTCCATAGTTGAGCATAGCTATTCTGAAGCAATTAATTATGTAGTGGCTCATTGCTTCAATGTTGTCAACAGGTCAAAAAAGCAAGTTTCCTTATTGAGTGCAGGAGTAATATCTCCAACAAGCTCTGACCTAGAGCCAGACACAATCACGAGCGCGGTTGATATTGAACTCAGGGACCAGCTCCTCTTCTTCTGCTTCATACCATCTGCCATACCACCCAACTTTGGACACTTAGAGTACACCTTGGTCAGCGCATGCTCTATGCCTGCAACCAGCCCCCAGAAATTCAAGCCACAGTCACAATCACTAATGCTGTGTGGAGTTGTCCAGACTATGGAACAATAGGCACTTCATTCATCTCTTGTTTTAGCACCAGTCTTGTCTGAATCAGGCAATATCAAGCTACCTCCCAACCAGCCTCTGAATGTAGACATGCATGGCAGTGGGGCACAGCTGCAGTGTGATTACCTTCCAGACACTGCTATCAGTCTTCAGTTTTGCCACAGCCCATTTAACCATTATGCCTTTGGGATTCAAAGTTCACCATCCATCACCACTTACTTTGGGAGTTGGATGGTGAGTTGTCTGTCAGCAAACATTACTCCACCTCTTTTGCTGCTTGTATATTAGATAGCAGCATACACTCATCCCCAGTGCCTCCAGTACTCCTAATTCCACAGCCCATGGTTGCCCCTCTAACAATTTGCATCCCCTTGAGTTGTCCTACATGCATTCAGTACACTCTTCAGTGGCAGAAAGTTTTCTGGGTGAAACCTTGTCTTACCTCAGCAATGATACTTAGCCTGTCACAACCCATGACCTTTGTTGCCCCAATGCTCCCAGCATTCTAATATTTATGTCAACTATCAATAAGTCACATGAATTGAAGCTGGATGCCTCCTCCAATGAGGCATGAGAAACTGAACACTCACAAGCTCTTGGTAATGCTTGAGTTGATCTGTTACTTAACTCCACCATCTGGGAAGTTCCACAACTGCATGCCAACAGGTTGCAAAACAGCATCAGAGGAAGCATAGCAGCTATAAATTTGATATGTCACAAATCTGTCAACCTGGATCTTGGTGACTGGAGCTTGCTGTGGTTAATTAGAAGCATTACCCTCCTCTTCACCAGACTTGAAGCTGAGTTTCTCAATGAATTCTCAATCTCAATTTTGTCAGAACATTGGTGTTTGCTATGCATGTTTGGGAAATTTCAAAATAGCTAAGTCAGCAACCTTCTTCCTGAAGACAGTATTGCCACCAGCTCAATAGATGCTTACAGTTTAATAGTAATAGCAGGCCAACTACATGGTTATAGCCATACTGCAGTTTACCCTCGCGGTTCAACTACCAGGCTCTTCCAATTCTACCAGAATCCTGTCAAACATCTTCAGACATGTCATCATGCAAGATGCTTGTCAAAGGCCAACAAGCCTCTTCTGGCAGGGCTTTCTCTACATACAGCCCTCTTTCATGCACCACAGCACACATCCACAGCAGCCCTTTCCATTCTTGTCCACTAAGCAACTACTACAGCCTGGGCAGTGGGCAGAACCTGAAACTATCTGGCCCCCAGAGTTTGTTAAATGCCAGAAGATGCCAGAGTGAACCATTATAATGTTCTCTCAGCCAGCACAGTATGATTTTTTCCTCTTACAGACTCTTGTGAGGGTCCAGAAGCAATACAGCTTGAAGCCATCATCATTATACTCTCAACTGCCCAAAGAGACTAGTAACAGCCATAGACTAGTGTGCCAGATCCCCAAATATTCCCCATTGATGAATTAAACCAACAGCAAATTGTTGAGTACAACAAATGATATTTCTTTCTCTCTCACATATTAATCTTCCAGTGACTTGATATTACCCTTGTGCAAGTCAGGCAGGGAGCCCCAGGACTCCTCTAGCAATCAGAATATGTACAGCTGTACCTACCACAAGTACACAAAATTAGAGAAGCACAAGCAACTAGCCCACCACCAGTTTACATGCAAGTTTCAAGAGTACATACACAATAAACATCTTCTTTGGCAGGAGGTTTGTTGCCAAGCATTGAGCTATAGAAAGAGTATATTTATACCTCTTCTCTGGATTATAGTATCTGTCTTCTCTTTCCATTATAGCTCACTCAAAGTGGGAAGCCTGTACTATAAAACTATAGTTATAGAGCTTTCTTGTGGCAGCTGGCAGCTTCTGGCTGGTAATTCAAGATGGCAGAACAAACATTTGTGGTGGAACTGTGTGACTTCACTTCCAATTGATGACTGAGATAATGTTCAAATTATCATCCACAAAGATATTGGGGGGGTAAAAATCCCCATGCATGAGAATGAACAGCCTGTAGTTGTCTTCTTGATTGATTCATTTCATTATAATGCCTTGAAATGCAAATATGCTGTATAAATAATTCCATGCATTCTTCTCATTAAGAATACTATCTCTCCCATGGTAAAAGTTATTGAAAACTAATTTTAGAATGGCATAGACATAATCAATAGTGAAATTATAGATTTGGTGGACAGGAATGATCTCTGAACTGTTTATTCTGCTAAGTTTCTAGTCATTCAGCTCAATAGTGAGAGAGTGGTTATGCTTGAATACCCACTTTTCATCATCATCATCAAGTGTGAGAGCCCTAATGTGATTAAACTGCTGGTGATAGAGTTGAATGTAGATATCAGTAAGCTGATCAAGCAGATGCAATCTCAGCTCATCTGAAAGATATAGCACATTAATTTCATAAAGAGTCTTGCCAGTAATATACTCAACAGTTATAAAGAAAAGACCAAAAACATTATCTTAGTAAATAAAATATCTGAAAAGATATGAGATAGAGATAGTAGTCTTCTGAGAAATGTACTTATATAGCAGAGCAGTATTATTAGAGTCTGTCAACAAGTAGAAATATGCTGAGTTTCTTACTTTATTGTTCCTATCTTGCCTCACATCTTTTCCTCAGAAAAGGCAAGATGTAGAAGCAGAGAAATTTGAATTATCCATCATTCAGCACTCTAAGTGAGCTTAATATTAGTACTCTGGTTAGCTATATCTGTAAAAATGACTAGAAAGCAGATATTATAGCTTTCTTTTATTAGAGCTGAGAAGATCTGACATGGCTTCTTCTCAGAATGCAAGAAAGAAGCTAGC